TTTCTTCCGTTTCTGGTTTTGCAACCTCTTCGACAATATCTTCCATAGGTTGCTGCTTCTTAGCTTCTTTAGTTAAAAGAATCGATGCTTGAGCTGATTCAGAAGCCAAAATTAAAACGGAAACGTCAACAGCTTCATGTTCGCGATGTTTCTCCAGATCAAACGTGATTCCGGTCTCTTTCAATTCTTCGAACAGCTTCTCTGGTTTTTCTTCTGGTTTTGCAACCTCTTCGAAAATGTCTTCTATAGGTTGTTTCTTAGCTGTTTTAGTTAAAAGAATCGATGCTTCAACTGATTCAGAAGCCAAAATTAGAACGGAAACGTCGACAGCTTCATGTTCGGGATGTTTTTCCAGATTAAACGTGATTCCGGTCTCTTTCAATTCTTCGAACAGCTTCTCCGGTTTTTCCTCTCTTTCTGGTTTTGCAACCTCTTCGACAATATCTTCCATAGGTTGCTTCTTAGCTTCTCTAGTTAAAAGAATCGATGCTGGAACTGATTCAGAAGCCAAAACTAAAACGGAAATGTCAACAGCTTCATGTTCGGGATGTTTCTCCAGGTCAAACGTGATTTCTGTTTCTTTCAATTCTTCGAACAGCTTCTCTGGTTTTTCTTCTTCTGATTTTGCAACTTCTTCGACAATATCTTCCATAGGTTGCTTCTTAGCTTCTCTAGTTAAAAGAATCGATGCTTGAGCTGATTCAGAAGCCAAAATTAGAACGGAAACGTCGACAGCTTCATGTTCGGGATGTTTTTCCAGATTAAACGTGATTTCTGTTTCTTTCGGTTCTTCGAACACTTTCTCCGGTTTTTCGTCTCTTTCTGGTTTTGCAACCTCTTCGGCAATATCTAGAGGTTGTTTCTCAGCTTGCTTGGCTAAAGGAATCGATGCTTGAGCTGATTCTAAAGCCAAAATCAAAACGGAAACCTCAACAACTTCATGTTCGAGATTTTTCTCCAGATCAAACGTGATTCCGGTATCTTTCGGTTCTTCGAAGTCTTTCTCCAGTTTTTCTTCTTTTTCTGGTTTTGCAACCTCTTCGACAATATCTTCCATAGGTTGCTTGTTAGCTTCTTTAGTTAAAAGAATCGATGCTTGAGCTGATTCAGAAGCCAAAATTAAAACGGAAACGTCAACAGCTTCATGTTCGGGATGTTTCTCCAGATCAAGCCCGATTCCTGTCTCTTTCAGTTCTTCGAACACTTTCTCCGGTTTTTCCTCTCTTTCTGGTTTTGTAACCTCTTCGAGAATATCTTCCATAGGTTGCTTGTTAGCTTCTTTAGTTAAAAGAATCGATGCTTGAGCTGATTCAGAAGCCAGAATTATAACGGAAACGTCGACAGCTTCATGTTCGGGATGTTTCTTCAGATTAAACGTGGTTCCGGTCTCTTTCAATTCTTCGAACACTTTCTCCAGTTTTTCGTCTCTTTCTGGTTTTGCAACTTCTTCGAAAATATCTAGAGGTTGTTTCTCAGCTTGCTTGGCTAAAGGAATCGATGCTTCAGCTGATTCTAAAGCCAAAATCAAAACGGAAACCTCAACAACTTCATGTTCGAGATTTTTCTCCAGATCAAGCGTGATTCCTGTTTCTTTCAGTTCTTCGAAATCTTTCTCCAGTTTTTCCTCTCTTTCTGGTTTTGCAACCTCTTCGACAATATCTTCCATAGGTTGCTTCTTAGCTTCTCTAGTTAAAAGAATCGATGCTTGAACTGATTCAGAAGCCAAAATTAGAACGGAAACGTCGACAGCTTCATGTTCGGGATGTTTCTCCAGATCAAACGTGATTCCGGTATCTTTCAGTTCTTCGAAGTCTTTCTCCAGTTTTTCCTCTTTTTCTGGTTTTGCAACCTCTTCGACAATATCTTCCATAGGTTGCTTCTTAGCTTCTCTAGTTAAAAGAATCGATGCTGGAACTGATTCAGAAGCCAAAATTAGAACGGAAACGTCGACAGCTTCATGTTCGGAATGTTTTTCCAGATTAAACGTGATTTCTGTTTCTTTCGGTTCTTCGAACACTTTCTCCGGTTTTTCGTATCTTTCTGGTTTTGCAACCTCTTCGGCAATATCTAGAGGTTGTTTCTCAGCTTGCTTGGCTAAAGGAATCGATGCTTCAGCTGATTCTAAAGCCAAAATCAAAACGGAAACCTCAACAACTTCATGTTCGAGATTTTCTCCAGATCAAACGTGATTCCGGTATCTTTCGGTTCTTCGAAGTCTTTCTCCAGTTTTTCTTCTCTTTCTGGTTTTGCAACCTCTTCGACAATATCTTCTATAGGTTGTTTCTTAGCTTCTTTAGTTAAAAGAATCGATGCTTGAGCTGATTCAGAAGCCAAAATTAAAACGGAAACGTCAACAGCTTCATGTTCGGGATGTTTCTCCAGATCAAGCCCGATTCCTGTCTCTTTCAGTTCTTCGAACACTTTCTCCGGTTTTTCCTCTCTTTCTGGTTTTGCAACCTCTTCGACAATATCTTCCATAGGTTGCTTCCTAGCTTCTCTAGTTAAAAGAATCGATGCTTGAACTGATTCAGAAGCCAAAATTAGAACGGAAACGTCGACAGCTTCATGTTCGGGATGTTTCTCCAGATCAAACGTGATTCCGGTATCTTTCAGTTCTTCGAAGTCTTTCTCCAGTTTTTCCTCTTTTTCTGGTTTTGCAACCTCTTCGACAATATCTTCCATAGGTTGCTTCTTAGCTTCTCTAGTTAAAAGAATCGATGCTGGAACTGATTCAGAAGCCAAAATTAGAACGGAAACGTCGACAGCTTCATATTCGGGATGTTTCTCCAGATCAAACGTGATTCCGGTATCTTTCAGTTCTTCGAAGTGTTTCTCCAGTTTTTCCTCTTTTTCTGGTTTTGCAACCTCTTCGACAATATCTTCCATAGGTTGCTTCCTAGCTTCTTTAGTTAAAAGAATCGATGCTGGAACTGATTCAGAAGCCAAAATTAGAACGGAAACGTCGACAGCTTCATGTTCGGGATGTTTCTCCAGATCAAACGTGATTCCGGTATCTTTCAGTTCTTCGAAGTGTTTCTCCAGTTTTTCCTCTTTTTCTGGTTTTGCAACCTCTTCGACAATATCTTCCATAGGTTGCTTCTTAGCTTCTCTAGTTAAAAGAATCGATGCTGGAACTGATTCAGAAGCCAAAATTAGAACGGAAACGTCGACAGCTTCATGTTCGGAATGTTTTTCCAGATTAAACGTGATTTCTGTTTCTTTCGGTTCTTCGAACACTTTCTCCGGTTTTTCGTCTCTTTCTGGTTTTGTAACCTCTTCGAGAATATCTTCCATAGGTTGCTTGTTAGCTTCTTTAGTTAAAAGAATCGATGCTTGAGCTGATTCAGAAGCCAAAATTAAAACGGAAACGTCAACAGTTTCATGTTCGGGATGTTTCTTCAGATCAAACGTGATTCCGGTATCTTTCAGTTCTTCGAAGTCTTTCTCCAGTTTTTCCTCTTTTTCTGGTTTTGCAACCTCTTCGACAATATCTTCCACAGGTTGTTTCTTAGCTGTTTTAGTTAAAAGAACCGATGCTTGAGCTGATTCAGAAGCCAGAATTATAACGGAAACGTCGACAGCTTCATGTTCGGAATGTTTTTCCAGATTAAACGTGATTTCTGTTTCTTTCGGTTCTTCGAACACTTTCTCCGGTTTTTCGTATCTTTCTGGTTTTGCAACCTCTTCGGCAATATCTAGAGGTTGTTTCTCAGCTTGCTTGGCTAAAGGAATCGATGCTTCAGCTGATTCTAAAGCCAAAATCAAAACGGAAACCTCAACAACTTCATGTTCGAGATTTTTCTCCAGATCAAACGTGATTCCGGTATCTTTCGGTTCTTCGAAGTCTTTCTCCAGTTTTTCTTCTCTTTCTGGTTTTGCAACCTCTTCGACAATATCTTCTATAGGTTGTTTCTTAGCTTCTTTAGTTAAAAGAATCGATGCTTGAGCTGATTCAGAAGCCAAAATTAAAACGGAAACGTCGACAGCTTCATGTTCGGAATGTTTTTCCAGATTAAACGTGATTTCTGTTTCTTTCGGTTCTTCGAACACTTTCTCCGGTTTTTCGTATCTTTCTGGTTTTGCAACCTCTTCGGCAATATCTAGAGGTTGTTTCTCAGCTTGCTTGGCTAAAGGAATCGATGCTTCAGCTGATTCTAAAGCCAAAATCAAAACGGAAACCTCAACAACTTCATGTTCGAGATTTTCTCCAGATCAAACGTGATTCCGGTATCTTTCGGTTCTTCGAAGTCTTTCTCCAGTTTTTCTTCTCTTTCTGGTTTTGCAACCTCTTCGACAATATCTTCTATAGGTTGTTTCTTAGCTTCTTTAGTTAAAAGAATCGATGCTTGAGCTGATTCAGAAGCCAAAATTAAAACGGAAACGTCAACAGCTTCATGTTCGGGATGTTTCTCCAGATCAAGCCCGATTCCTGTCTCTTTCAGTTCTTCGAACACTTTCTCCGGTTTTTCCTCTCTTTCTGGTTTTGCAACCTCTTCGACAATATCTTCCATAGGTTGCTTCCTAGCTTCTCTAGTTAAAAGAATCGATGCTTGAACTGATTCAGAAGCCAAAATTAGAACGGAAACGTCGACAGCTTCATGTTCGGGATGTTTCTCCAGATCAAACGTGATTCCGGTATCTTTCAGTTCTTCGAAGTCTTTCTCCAGTTTTTCTCTTTTTCTGGTTTTGCAACCTCTTCGACAATATCTTCCATAGGTTGCTTCTTAGCTTCTCTAGTTAAAAGAATCGATGCTGGAACTGATTCAGAAGCCAAAATTAAAACGGAAACGTCAACAGCTTCATGTTCGGGATGTTTCTCCAGGTCAAACGTGATTTCTGTTTCTTTCAATTCTTCGAACAGCTTCTCCGGTTTTTCTTCTTCTGATTTTGCAACTTCTTCGACAATATCTTCCATAGGTTGCTTCTTAGCTTCTCTAGTTAAAAGAATCGATGCTTGAGCTGATTCAGAAGCCAAAATTAGAACGGAAACGTCGACAGCTTCATGTTCGGGATTTTTCCAGATTAAACGTGATTTCTGTTTCTTTCGGTTCTTCGAACACTTTCTCCGGTTTTTCGTCTCTTTCTGGTTTTGCAACCTCTTCGACAATATCTTCCATAGGTTGCTTCTTAGCTTCTCTAGTTAAAAGAATCGATGCTTGAACTGATTCAGAAGCCAAAATTAGAACGGAAACGTCGACAGCTTCATGTTCGGAATGTTTTTCCAGATTAAACGTGATTTCTGTTTCTTTCGGTTCTTCGAACACTTTCTCCGGTTTTTCGTCTCTTTCTGGTTTTGCAACCTCTTCGACAATATCTTCCATAGGTTGCTTCTTAGCTTCTCTAGTTAAAAGAATCGATGCTTGAACTGATTCAGAAGCCAAAATTAGAACGGAAACGTCGACAGCTTCATGTTCGGGATGTTTCTCCAGATCAAACGTGATTCCGGTATCTTTCAGTTCTTCGAAGTCTTTCTCCAGTTTTTCCTCTTTTTCTGGTTTTGCAACCTCTTCGACAATATCTTCCATAGGTTGCTTCTTAGCTTCTCTAGTTAAAAGAATCGATGCTGGAACTGATTCAGAAGCCAAAATTAGAACGGAAACGTCGACAGCTTCATGTTCGGGATGTTTCTCAAGATCAAACGTGATTCCGGTATCTTTCAGTTCTTCGAAGTCTTTCTCCAGTTTTTCCTCTTTTTCTGGTTTTGCAACCTCTTCGACAATATCTTCCATAGGTTGCTTCTTAGCTTCTCTAGTTAAAAGAATCGATGCTGGAACTGATTCAGAAGCCAAAATTAGAACGGAAACGTCGACAGCTTCATGTTCGGAATGTTTTTCCAGATTAAACGTGATTTCTGTTTCTTTCGGTTCTTCGAACACTTTCTCCGGTTTTTCGTATCTTTCTGGTTTTGCAACCTCTTCGGCAATATCTAGAGGTTGTTTCTCAGCTTGCTTGGCTAAAGGAATCGATGCTTCAGCTGATTCTAAAGCCAAAATCAAAACGGAAACCTCAACAACTTCATGTTCGAGATTTTTCTCCAGATCAAACGTGATTCCGGTATCTTTCGGTTCTTCGAAGTCTTTCTCCAGTTTTTCTTCTCTTTCTGGTTTTGCAACCTCTTCGACAATATCTTCTATAGGTTGTTTCTTAGCTTCTTTAGTTAAAAGAATCGATGCTTGAGCTGATTCAGAAGCCAAAATTAAAACGGAAACGTCAACAGCTTCATGTTCGGGATGTTTCTCCAGATCAAGCCCGATTCCTGTCTCTTTCAGTTCTTCGAACACTTTCTCCGGTTTTTCCTCTCTTTCTGGTTTTGCAACCTCTTCGACAATATCTTCCATAGGTTGCTTCCTAGCTTCTCTAGTTAAAAGAATCGATGCTTGAACTGATTCAGAAGCCAAAATTAGAACGGAAACGTCGACAGCTTCATGTTCGGGATGTTTCTCCAGATCAAACGTGATTCCGGTATCTTTCAGTTCTTCGAAGTCTTTCTCCAGTTTTTCCTCTTTTTCTGGTTTTGCAACCTCTTCGACAATATCTTCCATAGGTTGCTTCTTAGCTTCTCTAGTTAAAAGAATCGATGCTGGAACTGATTCAGAAGCCAAAATTAAAACGGAAACGTCAACAGCTTCATGTTCGGGATGTTTCTCCAGGTCAAACGTGATTTCTGTTTCTTTCAATTCTTCGAACAGCTTCTCCGGTTTTTCTTCTTCTGATTTTGCAACTTCTTCGACAATATCTTCCATAGGTTGCTTCTTAGCTTCTCTAGTTAAAAGAATCGATGCTTGAGCTGATTCAGAAGCCAAAATTAGAACGGAAACGTCGACAGCTTCATGTTCGGAATGTTTTTCCAGATTAAACGTGATTTCTGTTTCTTTCGGTTCTTCGAACACTTTCTCCGGTTTTTCGTCTCTTTCTGGTTTTGCAACCTCTTCGACAATATCTTCCACAGGTTGTTTCTTAGCTGTTTTAGTTAAAAGAACCGATGCTTGAGCTGATTCAGAAGCCAGAATTATAACGGAAACGTCGACAGCTTCATGTTCGGAATGTTTTTCCAGATTAAACGTGATTTCTGTTTCTTTCGGTTCTTCGAACACTTTCTCCGGTTTTTCGTATCTTTCTGGTTTTGCAACCTCTTCGGCAATATCTAGAGGTTGTTTCTCAGCTTGCTTGGCTAAAGGAATCGATGCTTCAGCTGATTCTAAAGCCAAAATCAAAACGGAAACCTCAACAACTTCATGTTCGAGATTTTTCTCCAGATCAAACGTGATTCCGGTATCTTTCGGTTCTTCGAAGTCTTTCTCCAGTTTTTCTTCTCTTTCTGGTTTTGCAACCTCTTCGACAATATCTTCTATAGGTTGTTTCTTAGCTTCTTTAGTTAAAAGAATCGATGCTTGAGCTGATTCAGAAGCCAAAATTAAAACGGAAACGTCGACAGCTTCATGTTCGGAATGTTTTTCCAGATTAAACGTGATTTCTGTTTCTTTCGGTTCTTCGAACACTTTCTCCGGTTTTTCGTATCTTTCTGGTTTTGCAACCTCTTCGGCAATATCTAGAGGTTGTTTCTCAGCTTGCTTGGCTAAAGGAATCGATGCTTCAGCTGATTCTAAAGCCAAAATCAAAACGGAAACCTCAACAACTTCATGTTCGAGATTTTTCTCCAGATCAAACGTGATTCCGGTATCTTTCGGTTCTTCGAAGTCTTTCTCCAGTTTTTCTTCTCTTTCTGGTTTTGCAACCTCTTCGACAATATCTTCTATAGGTTGTTTCTTAGCTTCTTTAGTTAAAAGAATCGATGCTTGAGCTGATTCAGAAGCCAAAATTAAAACGGAAACGTCAACAGCTTCATGTTCGGGATGTTTCTCCAGATCAAGCCCGATTCCTGTCTCTTTCAGTTCTTCGAACACTTTCTCCGGTTTTTCCTCTCTTTCTGGTTTTGCAACCTCTTCGACAATATCTTCCATAGGTTGCTTCCTAGCTTCTCTAGTTAAAAGAATCGATGCTTGAACTGATTCAGAAGCCAAAATTAGAACGGAAACGTCGACAGCTTCATGTTCGGGATGTTTCTCCAGATCAAACGTGATTCCGGTATCTTTCAGTTCTTCGAAGTCTTTCTCCAGTTTTTCCTCTTTTTCTGGTTTTGCAACCTCTTCGACAATATCTTCCATAGGTTGCTTCTTAGCTTCTCTAGTTAAAAGAATCGATGCTGGAACTGATTCAGAAGCCAAAATTAAAACGGAAACGTCAACAGCTTCATGTTCGGGATGTTTCTCCAGGTCAAACGTGATTTCTGTTTCTTTCAATTCTTCGAACAGCTTCTCCGGTTTTTCTTCTTCTGATTTTGCAACTTCTTCGACAATATCTTCCATAGGTTGCTTCTTAGCTTCTCTAGTTAAAAGAATCGATGCTTGAGCTGATTCAGAAGCCAAAATTAGAACGGAAACGTCGACAGCTTCATGTTCGGGATATTTTTCCAGATTAAACGTGATTTCTGTTTCTTTCGGTTCTTCGAACACTTTCTCCGGTTTTTCGTCTCTTTCTGGTTTTGCAACCTCTTCGACAATATCTTCCATAGGTTGCTTCTTAGCTTCTCTAGTTAAAAGAATCGATGCTTGAACTGATTCAGAAGCCAAAATTAGAACGGAAACGTCGACAGCTTCATGTTCGGAATGTTTTTCCAGATTAAACGTGATTTCTGTTTCTTTCGGTTCTTCGAACACTTTCTCCGGTTTTTCGTCTCTTTCTGGTTTTGCAACCTCTTCGACAATATCTTCCATAGGTTGCTTCTTAGCTTCTCTAGTTAAAAGAATCGATGCTTGAACTGATTCAGAAGCCAAAATTAGAACGGAAACGTCGACAGCTTCATGTTCGGGATGTTTCTCCAGATCAAACGTGATTCCGGTATCTTTCAGTTCTTCGAAGTCTTTCTCCAGTTTTTCCTCTTTTTCTGGTTTTGCAACCTCTTCGACAATATCTTCCATAGGTTGCTTCTTAGCTTCTCTAGTTAAAAGAATCGATGCTGGAACTGATTCAGAAGCCAAAATTAGAACGGAAACGTCGACAGCTTCATGTTCGGGATGTTTCTCAAGATCAAACGTGATTCCGGTATCTTTCAGTTCTTCGAAGTCTTTCTCCAGTTTTTCCTCTTTTTCTGGTTTTGCAACCTCTTCGACAATATCTTCCATAGGTTGCTTCTTAGCTTCTCTAGTTAAAAGAATCGATGCTGGAACTGATTCAGAAGCCAAAATTAGAACGGAAACGTCGACAGCTTCATGTTCGGAATGTTTTTCCAGATTAAACGTGATTTCTGTTTCTTTCGGTTCTTCGAACACTTTCTCCGGTTTTTCGTATCTTTCTGGTTTTGCAACCTCTTCGGCAATATCTAGAGGTTGTTTCTCAGCTTGCTTGGCTAAAGGAATCGATGCTTCAGCTGATTCTAAAGCCAAAATCAAAACGGAAACCTCAACAACTTCATGTTCGAGATTTTTCTCCAGATCAAACGTGATTCCGGTATCTTTCGGTTCTTCGAAGTCTTTCTCCAGTTTTTCTTCTCTTTCTGGTTTTGCAACCTCTTCGACAATATCTTCTATAGGTTGTTTCTTAGCTTCTTTAGTTAAAAGAATCGATGCTTGAGCTGATTCAGAAGCCAAAATTAAAACGGAAACGTCAACAGCTTCATGTTCGGGATGTTTCTCCAGATCAAGCCCGATTCCTGTCTCTTTCAGTTCTTCGAACACTTTCTCCGGTTTTTCCTCTCTTTCTGGTTTTGCAACCTCTTCGACAATATCTTCCATAGGTTGCTTCCTAGCTTCTCTAGTTAAAAGAATCGATGCTTGAACTGATTCAGAAGCCAAAATTAGAACGGAAACGTCGACAGCTTCATGTTCGGGATGTTTCTCCAGATCAAACGTGATTCCGGTATCTTTCAGTTCTTCGAAGTCTTTCTCCAGTTTTTCCTCTTTTTCTGGTTTTGCAACCTCTTCGACAATATCTTCCATAGGTTGCTTCTTAGCTTCTCTAGTTAAAAGAATCGATGCTGGAACTGATTCAGAAGCCAAAATTAAAACGGAAACGTCAACAGCTTCATGTTCGGGATGTTTCTCCAGATCAAACGTGATTCCGGTATCTTTCAGTTCTTCGAAGTCTTTCTCCAGTTTTTCCTCTTTTTCTGGTTTTGCAACCTCTTCGGCAATATCTAGAGGTTGTTTCTCAGCTTGCTTGGCTAAAGGAATCGATGCTTCAGCTGATTCTAAAGCCAAAATCAAAACGGAAACCTCAACAACTTCATGTTCGAGATTTTTCTCCAGATCAAACGTGATTCCGGTATCTTTCGGTTCTTCGAAGTCTTTCTCCAGTTTTTCTTCTCTTTCTGGTTTTGCAACCTCTTCGACAATATCTTCTATAGGTTGTTTCTTAGCTTCTTTAGTTAAAAGAATCGATGCTTGAGCTGATTCAGAAGCCAAAATTAAAACGGAAACGTCAACAGCTTCATGTTCGGGATGTTTCTCCAGATCAAGCCCGATTCCTGTCTCTTTCAGTTCTTCGAACACTTTCTCCGGTTTTTCCTCTCTTTCTGGTTTTGCAACCTCTTCGACAATATCTTCCATAGGTTGCTTCCTAGCTTCTCTAGTTAAAAGAATCGATGCTTGAACTGATTCAGAAGCCAAAATTAGAACGGAAACGTCGACAGCTTCATGTTCGGGATGTTTCTCCAGATCAAACGTGATTCCGGTATCTTTCAGTTCTTCGAAGTGTTTCTCCAGTTTTTCCTCTTTTTCTGGTTTTGCAACCTCTTCGACAATATCTTCCATAGGTTGCTTCCTAGCTTCTTTAGTTAAAAGAATCGATGCTGGAACTGATTCAGAAGCCAAAATTAGAACGGAAACGTCGACAGCTTCATGTTCGGGATGTTTCTCCAGATCAAACGTGATTCCGGTATCTTTCAGTTCTTCGAAGTGTTTCTCCAGTTTTTCCTCTTTTTCTGGTTTTGCAACCTCTTCGACAATATCTTCCATAGGTTGCTTCTTAGCTTCTCTAGTTAAAAGAATCGATGCTGGAACTGATTCAGAAGCCAAAATTAAAACGGAAACGTCAACAGCTTCATGTTCGGGATGTTTCTCCAGGTCAAACGTGATTTCTGTTTCTTTCAATTCTTCGAACAGCTTCTCCGGTTTTTCTTCTTCTGATTTTGCAACTTCTTCGACAATATCTTCCATAGGTTGCTTCTTAGCTTCTCTAGTTAAAAGAATCGATGCTGGAACTGATTCAGAAGCCAAAATTAGAACGGAAACGTCGACAGCTTCATGTTCGGAATGTTTTTCCAGATTAAACGTGATTTCTGTTTCTTTCGGTTCTTCGAACACTTTCTCCGGTTTTTCGTCTCTTTCTGGTTTTGCAACCTCTTCGACAATATCTTCCATAGGTTGCTTCTTAGCTTCTCTAGTTAAAAGAATCGATGCTTGAACTGATTCAGAAGCCAAAATTAGAACGGAAACGTCGACAGCTTCATGTTCGGGATGTTTCTCCAGATCAAACGTGATTCCGGTATCTTTCAGTTCTTCGAAGTCTTTCTCCAGTTTTTCCTCTTTTTCTGGTTTTGCAACCTCTTCGACAATATCTTCCATAGGTTGCTTCTTAGCTTCTCTAGTTAAAAGAATCGATGCTGGAACTGATTCAGAAGCCAAAATTAGAACGGAAACGTCGACAGCTTCATGTTCGGGATGTTTCTCCAGATCAAACGTGATTCCGGTATCTTTCAGTTCTTCGAAGTCTTTCTCCAGTTTTTCCTCTTTTTCTGGTTTTGCAACCTCTTCGACAATGTCTTCCATAGGTTGCTTCTTAGCTTCTCTAGTTAAAAGAATCGATGCTTGAACTGATTCAGAAGCCAAAATTAGAACGGAAACGTCGACAGCTTCATGTTCGGGATGTTTCTCCAGATCAAACGTGATTCCGGTATCTTTCAGTTCTTCGAAGTCTTTCTCCAGTTTTTCCTCTTTTTCTGGTTTTGCAACCTCTTCGACAATATCTTCCATAGGTTGCTTCTTAGCTTCTTTAGTTAAAAGAATCGATGCTGGAACTGATTCAGAAGCCAAAATTAGAACGGAAACGTCGACAGCTTCATGTTCGGGATGTTTCTCCAGATCAAACGTGATTCCGGTATCTTTCAGTTCTTCGAAGTCTTTCTCCAGTTTTTCCTCTTTTTCTGGTTTTGCAACCTCTTCGACAATATCTTCCATAGGTTGCTTCTTAGCTTCTTTAGTTAAAAGAATCGATGCTGGAACTGATTCAGAAGCCAAAATTAAAACGGAAACGTCGACAGCTTCATGTTCGGGATGTTTCTCCATATCAAACGTGATTCCGGTATCTTTCAGTTCTTCGAAGTCTTTCTCCAGTTTTTCCTCTTTTTCTGGTTTTGCAACCTCTTCGACAATATCTTCCATAGGTTGCTTCTTAGCTTCTTTAGTTAAAAGAATCGATGCTGGAACTGATTCAGAAGCCAAAATTAAAACGGAAACGTCGACAGCTTCATGTTCGGGATGTTTTTCCAGATTAAACGTGATTCCGGTATCTTTCAGTTCTTCGAAGTGTTTCTCCAGTTTTTCCTCTTTTTCTGGTTTTGCAACCTCTTCGACAATATCTTCCATAAGTTGCTTGTTAGCTTCTTTAGTTAAAAGAATCGATGCTGGAACTGATTCAGAAGCCAAAATTAAAACGGAAACGTCAACAGCTTCATGTTCGGGATGTTTCTCCAGGTCAAACGTGATTTCTGTTTCTTTCAATTCTTCGAACAGCTTCTCTGGTTTTTCTTCTTCTGATTTTGCAACTTCTTCGACAATATCTTCCATAGGTTGCTTCTTAGCTTCTCTAGTTAAAAGAATCGATGCTTGAGCTGATTCAGAAGCCAAAATTAGAACGGAAACGTCGACAGCTTCATGTTCGGGATGTTTTTCCAGATTAAACGTGATTTCTGTTTCTTTCGGTTCTTCGAACAGCTTCTCCGGTTTTTCCCCTCTTTCTGGTTTTGCAACCTCTTCAACAATATCTTCCATAAGTTGCTTGTTAGCTTCTTTAGTTAAAAGAATCGATGCTTGAGCTGATTCAGAAGCCAAAATTAAAACGGAAACGTCAACAGTTTCATGTTCGGGATGTTTCTCCAGATCAAACGTGATTCCGGTATCTTTCAGTTCTTCGAAGTCTTTCTCCAGTTTTTCCTCTTTTTCTGGTTTTGCAACCTCTTCGATAATATCTTCCACAGGTTGTTTCTTAGCTGCTTTAGTTAATAGAACCGATGCTTGAGCTGATTCAGAAGCCAAAATTAGAACGGAAACCTCAACAGCTTCATGTTCGAGATGTTTTCCTAAATTGAGATTTGCTTCTATTCTTGTCAAAACCGTGGCAGCTCTCTGAAGGTCTTCTTTTCCTTGCTTCTCAGCTTCAGTCACTTTTATGAGTTGCTCTATTTTTGCTGCTTTTTCCAGGCAAATTGAGGCTTGAGCTGTTTCTGAAGCTATACCAAAGACAGAAACGTTGATTGTTTCTTTTTCCGAATGTTTCCCTAAATTTAGATTCGTTTCCATTTCACTCAATTGTTCGACCGCCCTCTCAACATTCTCTTTAACTATTTCCTTTTCTGACCTTGCAAGTTCTTCCATCACTTCTGTTGGTTGCTCTCTTTTAATTTCTTTTGCCAAGCGAACTGAAGCTTCAGTAGATTCTAAGACTATTCTAATGACGGATATGTCATCTGTTTCTTGTTCCAGATATTTTTCAAAATCCAAATTGGTCTTCGTCTCTCTCAATTCTTCTTGTGCTGTTTGCTCTATTTTTGTTAGTTTTGCCAAGCAGACTGAAGCTTGAGTGGATTCTGAGGTTATGCTAAAGACGGAAACGTCAAGTATTTCTTGTTGTAGATGTTTCTCTAAATCCAGATTGATTTCTATCTGTCTCAGTTCTTCGACAGCTCTCTCTTCAACACGTTTCGCAACTTCTTCAATCGCTTCATCTATAGGTTGGTCCATATTTGTTGTTTTTGCCAAGCATTCTGAAGCTTGAGCCGATCCTGAAGTTGTGCTAAAAACAGATACGTCAACTGTTTCGTGTTCTAATTGTTTATGTAGATTCAGATTCGTTTCCATCTCTCTCAATTCTTCTTCTGTCAGTTTCTGCATTTTTGTTGCTTTTGCCAAGGGAGTTGAAGCTTGAATGGATCCTGATGTTACACTTACGACAGAAACGCCAGCTGTTTCATGCTGCAGTTTTTTCTCGAAATCAAGATTCATTTCCATCTCTCTCAATTCTTCAGCTGCTCGTTCTGCGATTGCTGAATGCTCGAGTAGTTTTTCCAAACGAAGTTCAATACCTGTAGTTGCTACCTGTTTTTTAATATCTGTGACAGCTATTTCTGTCTTTTCTTCAACAATTTCCTTTTTTGCTTCCACTACCGTTTCATCAGGAGATTGTTCCATCTTCACTTCGTTTTTCAGGGTAATGGATGCTGAAACTGACTGTGAAGATAAGTTCATGTTAGATGCGTCAATTAATTTATCTTTTTTGTCACGCTCTTCTACTTGTCCTACTTTTTCGTTCATTTCTTTTGGTAGGAATGTGTCGTGATACGCTATTTCATATTGGGCTGTTGCATGTAGAATCTCTTCATAATTATTAATTGGAGGTTTTGCTGCATCGATCAGTTTATTAATTTCTTGTTCTGATGTTTCTAGAATTTTTGGCTCTGTTAGATCGTAAATGTTTTCTATTACAGAAACATCTATCGATGAAACAGTGGGGTTTCTTTTGATAAAGACCTCCTTGTTGATTTCTTTGCATATTTCAGTTTTACTACCCTTTATCTTTCCCATATTTTCCACTAGTAATTGTTGCGATTGCATATGATGTTCGGTTAAAGTTTCTTCAATATTTTCCTCTGATTCCATCGCTTCGCTGATTTGCTTACTTTGTTCGTATTCATATTGAGTGGTCGATGTTTGAACTGTTTCATTGTTTTGGGAGCTTCTTTCAGTTGATTCGGTTGTTTTGGAAACATTTTCAACTCGTATTCTTCGGATTTTTCTATGTTCTTTTTCATTCCATTCTTCATCCACTCGAATAAAGCATTCTGTAATAGCTCTTCCGGCTACACTGACTGCTTCACAAACGTAATGTCCTTCAAGGATATGTTGCATGTACAACGATATAACACCACTTTTGTATACTACATGAAAGAATCTGAAAATAAAATTGTAGTTAAATATTTACATTCTGCCTCTAGCTATTAAAGAAACTTTTTCAAACTTTTTATTTATCTTAATTTCGAAGGAACAAGTGTAATTATTTGGAATTGCTAAGTAATTATAATTATTAGAAAAATATGTTAGTTTTTGGGTAATAGTTATAAACTCTTTTGCTGATTTTGTTGAGAATTCCATAGATAACGTTGCTTCTACAAAGATCTATCATTAGCTTCAGATAATTCATCATTTTTTTAGATAGTTAGTAGCACAAAATATAATAATTGAAATTAGTTTTTAAGCAAATAAATGAAATATTTCACTATTCCATTTCCTTTAAGGTTAGTTTATACTAGATAGTATTTAGAAGTTAGAAAGTCAAAATTTTGTAATAATAATAGATAATGAAGCGTTTATGGAATTGATCATATTTGCTAACCTATTATTTCTTAGGATCGGACATCCATTATGCGAAATTCGAATATGTGGTATTGGTAAACCGTAAACAGAACAACGCAAGCCGGTATTGAAACCTTCTTCAAAGATGGTAAGTGGTTGAATAAAGTGCGGTCCTCTCAAAATTGAATGCTGGAAATATTTTTGTCGTTTAACTGAATCTTCAATAGAAGCTTCAAATTCATTGTCACTAGCAATCGTTTGATATAAAGCAGCTCGAATATCAAATGTTGCCTTATATCTGTAACGTGTAATGAGAATCACGTACGCTTCTACAACATGACGCATTGCATTTGCTACGCAATGCACAACTGTGAAAACACCAGTATCCTCAGCAAGAGTTCCAGTTTGTTCTTCATATATTTCTAATTTACGCTTTTCTAAAGTTTCTTGTGAACCTCCTATCTGACGTAACTTAAATCGAGTTTCATGTTCTTCGCTGCTTTCCGATGTTTCTGTCGTCTTTAGAAGTTGAACATAACGTTCAATAATGTCTTTATCTTCTAAAAATTCGTGTAATTCATCATTTTGGAATATTTTCTCAAATTCAATCCTTTCATTAATAACTTCTCGACTCCAATATGAAGGTCTTTCAGTAGTATGACCTTGAAATGTCCACAGTGGTCTTGCACTACGTTCGACCACTCTTAAGTAAGTTCGTGTGCGTACAACGTCCTCTTCAATGATTATTTTAAATAGCTCTTCTTCCTTCATTTTTTTTGATTTTGCTTTCACTTTTGCATAAGCACAAAGTTTGTAACTCATAACTCTTATTGTCATTGCTTCTGCTTCAATTAAGTAATTCAGTGTGCCTGTTGGGATATATTGATCAGTTGTGATTTCTTCTTCACCGAATTCTTTCTTTAATTTCTTTCCTTCTTGATCTTCATCAATTGTTTCATTTTTTCCACTTACATCAGCTGTTGAGCAAAATTTCGACGTCGAAACTGATAAAACTACAGCTTCAGCTGACTCCATCGTATCTTTTAGTTCCATTGCTGTTGTCAGTAAAACTTCCGCGCTATATATGTGAACAAAACTTCGAGTTTGCGCACTTCCAATACCATTTGTTGCTTCACATACATATAATCCTTCTTTATCACCATTGATAATCTTTAGTATAACAATGCCATCCTCATAAACGGTAAATATATTCCTGAAAATTCCATCAACAGCTGAACATTTTTTAAACAATATAATACAAGGATGAACTAAGAGAAAAAAACTGATTCAAAACAAGAATAAATACGTGGTGTATTCTTCCTAAACTTCGCAGGTATTTGCTATACCATTGTAAAAAATAACAATATATTATGAAGAGCAAAAGTAAGAGTTTTCTCTCAAGAATTTTCTCGAAAAAAGTTGCATAGGTGACTAACTGGTTTTAACTCAAAAAAGTTAGAAATAAAAACTTTATGTTATTTCTTTCTGGAACTTTTGTTCAATATTTGTGTGATTTTCATGTTTAATTGTTTTTAATAAAATTGCGCTATCATTTCTAGTACCGTATAAAAAAAAAGAAAACTGATTAAAAATAAGAATAAATATGCGGCGTATTCTTCCTAAACTGCGCAAGTGTTTGTTATACTAATGTAAAAAGTAAACAATATATTATGACGAGCAAAAGTAAGAGTTTTCCCGAAAAAAAATATTATGGAGAGCAAAAGTAAGAGTTTTCCCGAAAAAAGTATTATGAAGAGCAAAAGCAAGAGTCTTCTCTCAAGAATTTTCTCGAAAAAAATTGGATAGATGGCTAACTGATTTTAACTCAGAAAAATTAGAAATAAAAACTTTATGTTATTTCTTTCTGGAACTTTTGTTCAATAATTGTGTGATTTTCATGTTTAATTTTTTTTTTTTCACCAAAATGCGCTATCGTTTCTAGTATAAGTGTACATCGTACTTTACTGAAAATGGAAATCAGTCAGATAAAAGTTTTTACTGAAAGCGAAAAAAACTCTAGATAAGTTAGAACAATAGATAACTTAAAAGTGGATGATAGTTTATTAGATAAATCGAAATCAAAACTTTCCACCTGTTATCTGCTTGAATTTCTTTACCATTGCATGACCAACGAATTGTAGGCATTGGTTCACCAGTAACAATACATTTAAGTTGTAGTTCTCCTCTGTTCTCTATCGTTATATCATGTAATGGTAATGTAAATTGAGGTATTTGAAATTGAGTGGTAAGTGAATCTTGTGATGACATTGATGACATCGATATTTCACCTATGGTATGATCATCTACACTGCTTCTTGTTGTGGGACTTTCTTCTTCCTTTATGTTACTCGTACTTGCTAAGTGCGCTTCTTCTAAAATTTAAAATACAAAGTATTTTTTGATATACATACAAAACATTCTCTTAGCGCTTGATTCTATGAATGTTCAGTTAATTTCACTCACAAAAATTTATATCATTTGACATTTTATTTTAATATTGTAGGTAATGATCCAGAGGAAAGTAGTGTGTATGTTAGTTTGATTTTACTACTATATACCGTCCCATCATCCATATGTCAAAAAAAAAAAAAGAAACGTACTCATTTATTGAATGAAGGAATAAGAGATGAAATTATAAAAATGTATATACGAAATTCTCAATTACCTTCAACAGTCATTCTACTTTTGGTTTTTGCGGAACCGAACATATTCATCGCTGTACAGCTAAAAATTGCATTATCCTCCTCTGTGACATTTAAAATGCGCAAAATACAGATCCCATCATCACATATAGTCAAGTAATGTCTGAAAAGGTAATAAAAATACATTTGTAAAATTCATTAGACGAAGAAAGATAGTTCTGCTTTGAAAATCTAACTATAAAACTTATTTAGCACTTGTTTTCTCTATGATTCATTTATCTTACTCATTATTTTCGATGATAACATCATTGCGCTTCCATTGCACTGAAGGTAATGGACTTCCAGATATAATACATTTCAGTTGGATATTTTCTCCCTTCTGAAACTTTATGTAATTACAAAAAGAAAATCGATTCAATGCTTTTTGTAGATACAAAAATATATCCATACGATGCTAGAAAATTTCGATCATTTGAAGATTTTGAAACAACCAAATTTTTGAGGAATAAATAATACTAGAAAATAAGAAAAAAAAAAAACCAAGAAACTTATAGGTCATATTAAAAAAGTAATTAAATAAAATGTTGATCGTACTTCAAGAGCACATTTTTTTTTTTTTTTTGTTACCTACCTTAGCATTAATTTCGCTATCAAGCGGTAAATGGATGATAGGCATTTGTCCTCCGATTGAAGCGCTGCTAATGGAAGAACTTTCCTCAGATCCTGTAATATAGAATTTTATAGAAAATATAGAAAGTGCTATGAACTCTTCAATCAAAGTTACTTACACTATTTTGCATCTGTTTTTGAATCCTATCTGAATTTTATTTCTTCATCTTTAATAAACAAAACAAACAAATACAGGAAAAAGAATTAGTTTACTTGTATGCTTGCATAATAAAAATTACTTATTTAGTAAATTATTATAACTTTCATTTTTTTTTTTAATCTCCAATATGTTTTCTTAATATAATATTGAAAAAAAGAAAAAATTTCTGAATTCATGAAATCAAAAGCAATTATGCTAATTATGCTTTATTTAAATAAGCCATTACTTTGAACATGGATAATGGAATGTGTGCGAGCTATTCCGATTGCATTTTCCGCTTCACAAACTAAATTTCCATTCCAACTTCTATCTATGTTATTTATTTTCAATATGTAGATACCATCTTCAGCGATTTCAGTTATGTTACTGCAACAATTATAATTAACCGAAGTACTCAAGAAAACTTGGCTTATTACAACAAACATAACATAAATGGAAATTACTGCAGGAAAATTATAAAGGTCTTAAATATAAATTTTTTTAATTTTCATGGAAAGATTTGATAAGTGATTCTTTTTAATCACAATAAAAAAAGAAGTTCTAGTAATTTAGAGTATCAGGAAGCGATAAATAAAACCGTTTGAAATCTTACTCGCTAGGGATGATTGCTTGCTCATTACGGTACCATCGGACTTGTGGTGCGGGTGTTCCATAAATAATGCATTTGAATGAATGAGTTGAGAATTCTTCAATTTCATAAATTTCATTCAATTTTTCCGCAAATTGTGGAGCTGCTTGAATGGAAGATGATGTGCTTAGTTCATCAGTTGATTCATCTAAGAAAACATTTCAATCGTTCATTCACTTCAGTGGTGGAATTAATCTTGCTAGTAATTAAAATTACCTCTCATTTTTAATTGGTTGAACTTTCTTTTTGGTAAATTAATGTAAAGAAATAAATAGTGTGTACAAAAGGAAATATTCAATTTGTTTAGTAAAACTTATAAGTTTCACATGCCGTAATTTTAATTTCAATCCTCAGAGGTAGTTGATGGTGTTTTGTAGAATTGAATTACAGTTAAAAACAATACCAAAAAAGATTTGTAATCTAAATGTAAAATTTAACTAATAAATAAAAAAAAATATTAAGCAAACAAAAGTGTAACCAAAAATTTAGTCACAAAAATAACTTTTTGTTAATAATGGAAAATAAAAGTTTTGATAAAGTTCAAGAAACTGTTAAAAACAAAACTTTAGAATCATAACTTTGTTAATGAAAACAAAATTTATCAGTGTTTTAGTTGTTCACCTGGAAGATTCTATCTTTTCATTAATGACCTTTAAACAAGTATTCCTCTTATAAAGACTCAAAAAAAATTTTTCTAATAACTTTGAATTATTGTTTTGGTTATCATTGAAATGAAAAACGAATGATCGAATTACCGATCAATGATTGCAATCAAATCTATTTCATGAATTCTATGCACAAGATGCAGCAAACAAAATGTAAATAGGAAATTAGCATGTAAATAGGAAAAACTAGGCAAGCATAAACAACAAACCTTCTTCGTAGATATTTTTGCGTAAGATAAAAGCTGAGTCGCTGGTTTGTGCTGATCGTGTTAAATCTAAGTGTTGATAGAATCCTACATTTAGTTGTGTACGACTCCATAATCTGTTCATCTCAAAAAATGTTAAATGTAACTTACATACATATGAAATGCCTATTATAGTATTTAAATATAGTAATACTTTTTTTCACATCTGAAGATTACCTCATTTTCTTCCATTGCTTGCCTTGATTGAAAAATATTTTGTAAATCAATTTGACACGATTGTATTGTTGGATTTCGAGATAATTCAATCATTATGCGAATATTTTCTTTAAACTGTTGCATAATATATTCATAAGTTGTATTGTTGATTTCTTCAATAAATTCACTTGCAAACAAGCATAAAGATCGATCATTATATATTTTGTAACTAGATTTCCACACTGATAGCTTAGATTCTATTAGATCTGCTTTTACAGTTTCATGATTGACAGCATCATAATAGATCTCAATATCAAGCTTTGTTATTTCATCGCTGTATCGCTTTTCGGTGATTGCAGTAATTTGTTCCAATGTAATAGTAATCCATGCTATCTCTTCTTCTGGACAAATTTCAAATGAAGTGTAAATTTCAATATTTTCAATAGATGAAGCTTGTACACTTATCAGTTGCTTTTCCTTTTGGACAATTAAGAGACTAGCAGCACAATGAGCTTCTGATTCCACGTCAAAAGATCTTTCGATATCGAAATTCTCTTCTTTCGTTGCTTCTATCCATGCTTCTGCAATTTCATGCATTGCAATGAGTACTTCAAAATAGTCATCTCTTTGTTGTGGTAGCACTTCGAAACTTGTCAAAATACTCAAACACTCTTCAGTGGAAGCTTGTAAACATATTTGATTATTATCATTTCGTTTAATTGGTATATTTATATCGGCGTAACTACTTTGAGTCTGACACCATAGTGTTGCAATCAAATTAACAGTTTTATAAGAAAAGAAACGATTCAATTTGTAAGTATCAGCTCGAACGAACTCCAATAAAGTAACTTCAAGTTCTTGAACTTTAGGATATTCTTCCAGAACGATTGATGCATGCGTTTCTTCAATAGATGAAGCTTTTAACTGCATCTGCAACTCATCATTCCTAGCAATATAAATTTTAGCATCTGCAAAAGCTTCTCGACGAATCTTTGACCATAATTCTATTACAAACTTCATCAAACGATCTGAAAATTTCCGATCAATCCTTTCAGTAACAGCAGGTATCTGCGTTAGCAAAGTAGCCATTATATTTTCGATTTCATCTTGGACACAAAATTTTGCTATCACAGTGATATTTTCTTCTTCTGAAGCTTTTAGAAACATTTGAAGCGCACATATTCGAGCGACCATAATATCATTATATGTATGAAAATCGCTTTGTACGTGTAGCTCAGTAATTAAATTCACGACACTGTCCGAAAATGATCGACTAATCTGTTCAACTAATGCTGAAATTGGAGTTAGCAGGATGAATTCTAAGTCTTCCTTCTCCGGCTGTACCTCAATAATAGCTACAATATTTTTTTCCTCAAATTCAACACCTTTAATATTTTTAAACAAATTATCTTTTCGAGCAGTAAAAATTTCCATCTCTACTTCCAGATTATGCATATTTTGTGATCGGAATTCCATTGTTTCTTCAATGAAATCATCGGAAAACATAACGCTAGCTCTGTCAACAATTATCGGTGCTCGTTTCAGTAATGCCATTGTAGTATTACTTTCCTGAGATTGAACTTCAAACGATATGATAACATGCAAGTTTTCAAAAGTTGAAGCTCTGAAATTTGCCGTATGTATATCTTTTCGTGATATTAAAAGGATAGCATCTGCGTAAAATTCTCGTTTCACCTGCGATGAGTACTCTAAAATCTCACTGATAGTGGCATCTGAAAATAATCCAAATGCTTTTTCAGTAATTTTTGGTGCTGTTGTTAATAATGTAGCTATTACTGTATCTATTTCTGGTTGAATATTGAAAGCTGTTGATAGATCGAAATATTCTGCAGTTGAACCGGAAAATGTTGTGCTCAATCGTTCTATTTCTCTTGTTCGAAAATTAACGTTGACGCAAATGTCACATTTGATTTGCGACCAAAGCTCCATTTCAAGTTTTGTGACACTGTCAACGAAGTCACGTTGACATGCGTAAGAGGACATATGAGGCTTCACAAATATTCTCATTTCCATATTTTCAGCTTTTGAAAAACTATAAGTTACTGGAATTACTTCAAGTACGGAAGCCATTAGCTGCATACTGACCATTTCCATTCGAATTAGTGGTACTTCTTTAGTTACAAGTAAATTTTCATCCATATGTGACATCAAAATTAGTTCCAAAGACGACATTGAATCGATATAATTAGCATTTATTGATGAAAATAAAATTTCTGGAACAGTTACTGCAATATTTTGTTGTTGAATAGGACCGCATACCGTGAAAATTTCATCAATTGTATTTGCTTTAGAAGCATCACATCGTAGATGAATTATTTCCCTTTGAGTAACATTAATTCTGATTGTAGTATCAAAAATTTGTGGTACTTTATAAATAGCTATAAATTCCAACCAAACAACATTCATGGTAAACTGTCTCGTAATCTTTTCCGGATAAATAATTGATTTTGTTAGCATCACTGCATCAGCAAATTCGCATTCGGATGCTTTGTTAAATGTAATAATTTCGCTATACTTTTCAAATATTAATGCAATAAAATCCATTTCAAGTGCTATCATTCGTGGAATTTTGTTCGTAATATCCATAGCTATATTCTGCATTGGTGATAATAATATCACATCTAATTTTACCCACCGATCATCTAATTTTATTCCTAATTTTTTGACAATTTTTTCTTGTACATTTGTAACAACGGTTAATTCTCTTACATCCAACGATTTTATAAAACTAGTTGTAAGTTGAGTGAATTGTGAACTGAGATGAATATATGCTGACTGTTGCGCAATCAGTGTTAGTACTACAGCTTCAGCAATAGCATAACTAATTGAAGTAGAAGATGTAAATTGAAAATGAACATTTGTTGTTACAAAATTGCACTCAATCATTGTTACTTCCATAAAAGTTAAATCGTTGCTAATTGCATAAGAAGGCTCACGATGTATGTGAAACTCATTGTCCACCGATTGAATTGATAATTCATGTGATAGATAACTGATCGATATCAGTCGTTTCTCATTCACAATCACTGGAATTTCATATGATTGCATGGAAAATCGCAAATCAAAATATTCTTCCATATTACACAACTGATAAGATTCCGTTGTTTGTGCTTGTTGAAGATTGATAACATCATGTAATTGTGGATATCCTTCATTTATCGTTGTTGTTGTTGTTGTTGTTGGATGTAATGAAATATCGAAATGTTCAGTGGAAATTTGTCCCTGTGATTCTATAAATGAAAAAAATAATTTCATAGTTTTTAGTGAAGATTTTAAAAGAAATAATAATTACAACCACCAATGATTTCTTTCTTTTTTTCTATTTTTTTTTTTTTTTAAATTAAAATTGTTAATAAGTTTATGGATAATAATGAGAAGATTAATTCGAGTGCCTACAATGAATTTCTTAATGGAATGAAATTTTTTTTTTTTTTTCAGTAAAACAAAACAAGTCAAATGAATAACAAATATTATCGAAATATAATCATATTATAATTATTTAAATCTCTTTCAATTCTATATTTCGTCTTCTAAAGTAAGTTTCTAAAAGAAAATTCTTAAATATATTTTTCTAAAAAAAATTTTTTTTTTTTTTTGTTTTGAGAATTTTAACCACAAATTTTCTTTTTTTGGACTATTAAACTTTTTTTTTTTTCAACTTATGCAAAAAATAATTTTAAAAAAACTCAAATTGCAAAATAAATATTAGCTTTGCTTTATATGCTTACCAATTACAGTAATTTTAGTGACAGCAGTATATGAATCTTTTATTACAACGCCATATTCGCCTTCGTCACTCTTTCGAACACTGTAAATTGTAAGACTATGCTCAAATCCATCAGCCGTATCTTTCCTTTCGATTCGTTCATCTTGCACAATTGGCCGCAGATTTTTGCGCCAATCCAATGAATATTGTTGTGTAATAGTTTCACAATGAATTGTTGCAGCTGAACCAATTGGTACCAGCGATTCTTCTACTGTAATTTGACTTGAATATTCTCCTGTAAGAGGAGATTTCTATCAGTTCTGAGAATTTGATTTAATTGAAATTTGAAAATTCAATGTGAGAAAATGAAATCAAATTCAAATTTGATCATTTGCTATAAAATGCAAATATTCAACTATTTCATTAGATATTTTTGACCAATAATAAAAGCAAACAGTGATGGAAGTTTTTTTTTTTCGTTTTCTTTCTTTCCTTTTGCAAAACCGATCGATAACAATTTTTTAAAATAAATTATTTTTCGTGGGAAATGAACAAATGATCATTTCATCACTTATGTAAAAATAATTTAAATAAAATTTTATAAGGGATATTTGTGTATATCTTTTCAAATAGTTGTCGTGTTTGAAATTTGTTTAGAAATAATGATGGAATATTAAAAATTTTGAACAATTAGCTGCAATTATGAATCAATAATTACATCTGCTATACCATGATTTCATAAATATTTTTTCGGCAATTATTTTTATATTAATCTTGTAAATGTATAAATGCAGGATTACTGATTGGATGTGCTAGAATTTTTTAAAAGCTAAAGTTTATTTATAAAGAAATCTCATGAAACTCAATTTTCAGATATCAAAATTCAGTGTCAACATTTTTTTAAATGATCTGATCTTGTAAACTGATTCGTGCACTCCGTATCAATATCAATATGTTATGATTAACTGTCATTATGTCATGATTAAAACTCATTAATTTAATAAATATTTGTGCCTCTAAATTTAGCTAAAAGCTATTGACATTCTTACTAATGAGTAGATCAAGCAAAACAATTTGAATATTATCAGTCTTTGAAATGCTTCTTTCTGGAAAATTTCTGTTCGGTCATTTATTTCTCGATCATTGTTCTTCTCAGTATTGCTCCATAACTTCGAAAAATGTTATCAACTAATCGTTTTGTATTTTATAAAAATTTTCAATCAATCATTATGAGAAGGAGCTAAAAAACAATTTAATTTTCCAATTTGGAAGTATAAATTTTAAAACTCAAAGAAATTCAAACAAAATCCACCGACTTTTCTCTAATTTGGGCATAAAATGTATTAATTTTGTCCATTCATTCTTAAATTTTTGAGTTGTTAAAAAAATTTTTGAAAATATGAAAATATTAAAATTAGTAATTAATCATTACTGATTGTTTCCTCATTATAGTTGTAAAAATACTGGAATAACTCATATGAATTTAATTATACTGGAAAATTTATTTTTTGTGAGGGAAAGAAATACTCCTTATACAAGCATTGTTAATTGTTTCATATTTCTTTCAACAAAAAAGATAAGAAGTGATAATGACGATGATAACGATAATGATGATGATGATATGTAGTGATATAAGAATAAGCAGAAATAAGTTTTACTTAAAACGAACGAAAATGTTGCAAGAACGAGCGAAATATAAGTCAATAACACATATGATACAGCTTATCAGCTTATCAGACAAATGATCAAAACAACAACACATTTTAAAAATGATAAAAATTTGATCTGATTTAGTTATTTTCAGTAAGAACATAAAAAATTTGTTAAGAAAAAAAAAATTTATAAAAATGGCAAAATGGAGTTCCAAACAAGGATAACCCGATGATTCCAAAGATAGCTAATTAAATGGAATATATCAGTTATACAAACAGCTAATTGTGCAGAGAACTTTTACTTATCTAAACTTCTTGTGTCTATTAATTTATCAAACAATTTCCAAAAAAAAAGTGAAAAATGTTCTCCGTAGAAAAAACAGCAAAATAAAGCGATGAAATTTTTCTTTTGAGAAAAAAAAAAGAAACGAAACTTCTTATAAACTAATTAGTTAAAGAAAAAGACTGAAGTTAGCATTTACACTACATGGAATCATCCTTATCTCTGAGGTAATTTAAACATTTTACAACAAAACAACGACAGACATTCTACATTTAATCGATTGCTAACTTAGTTTGATGGAAAATCATTTCGAATTCTCTCTATTATTAGAAAAGTTGAAACGAAATCAATTTAAGTAAATTTTAATTTCTGAATTTGCATACAGTTAGATAGTTCTTATTAACAGAATAGAATTAAAAAAAAAAAAAAAAAAAGCAAAATTAATGTAGAGAATTTCTAGAGATACGTTTGGTATATTTACTACCAATTGGTGTTGCATAATTGCTAACCAATAAATGAGCAATCTTGAATTCCATATTATTAATAGAGATACTATAAGATGCTGAATCATCAGCTTCTGTATCATGAATCACTAGATAATGCTTTAAGCCATTCACTACATGTTCAACTTTTCCATCATCCGTAAACTCAATTTGTTTACCATCTTTGCGCCATACCAATTCTTGCACCTCATCGGTATTTTCCAGTTCACAAGCAATTGTTGCTGTGCTACCAAGAGGTACCAAATATTCACGATAATCATCTTCTTCGGTGTCTGTTCCCAGTGCACTGATTGTCACTTCACGTTCGTCAATGCGTTCTGTTATTGGAGACAGATTAGATAAAAAGAAGAGTTAGTAAGATAGAAGAATCGATTTGAAAAAAAAAAAAAGAAAAGCAAAAACAAAAAAAAAAAAATTAGCATGAAAATTGTTATGTTTGTGATTATAATAAAACTTTGTTAATGAAAATTATTTTCAAAAGACTCATTCATCGTATCATAAATTAATATAATACATTACCATAGAAAAATTTTCATTAAATTATAGTTGCAAGAATTTTAAAGCAATTTTAAATGCAAATCAACTATGCTTACCTTCAACAACTAGTGTAACTGTTGTGAAATGATCACCCAAAAATGCATAATATGTCCCCTGATCATCCAATTCAGACTTATCAATAATTAATCGATGAAATCCAAATTGATCCGCTTCTAATCGTATCCTTTCATTTTCAGTTATCCATTTTTTATTATCTTTACACCACTCAATTTTTTGATCTACACTATTTACTTGACAGGAAATAATTGATGGTTGTCCTTCCATTACAAATAATGTTTGTGGCGGACTTATAAAATGTACATTATCATCATTAAGTTTTTCAAATGATGCTGTATTAGCATTCTCTATAATAAGGTATGCAACAGGATAAATTATATCATTCACTCTAATGCTATAAATATCACCATCCATTAAATTTACATGTGAAATAACTAATACCTCTAATAGATCATGACTTATGCGATCCGTTTTACCGGGTATAATTTGCATTAAATTTTTACCCTTGAACCAATCAATGACACTTCCAGGAGCTAAGAAATTATTAAATTCGCATGTAATTGTAGCTGTTGATCCTTCTCTAACCACATAGCTTGGTATATTAAAATTTTGTCCACCGGTATTTCGATCACCAAATTCGCTCCAATCAAATGACTGCTGTGATAATGAGCAAACTGATTCATGAGAATGCAACGAACGTTTTTCAGTTTCATTTGATTCCGATACGGTTACATTTTGAATTAGCGAATTTCTGGTTTCTGAGTCAGTTTTTGATCGAGTCATAACAGGTTGCATTACAATATACATAGATACTTCTCCCCAAGGAATTTCTTCCAGTGAAGCACGCGCAATGTCATGCATGCTTCGTGCAATAATGTTTACAAGAATACCGGTACGTTGTTCCTTATCTCCAGTAGCTTTGGATGAATGATGATAATGATCGTTATCACTTATCATACTTATTCGCTCTTCATCAGTTCCACTATCAATTAGATTTTCAATTTGATATGATAGAATACCTTCATATTGTTCACAGCGTTTTAGCGATAAATCCACTTCAACTGTATTTGGAAGCATCAAATCAAGACTAATCGAATCACTTATATGATCCAAAATATTCACCGTAAGGTTTTGTACTTCATCTGGTTGTTCAACTAGAACATCAAAATCTTCACCAATAACCATATATGCTTCAGCCTTAGCACCTATCTCAGGTGATAAGATTGCTATCACTTTAAGCTTATTTGATGGCTTCTTATAGCGTACATTGATTGTAATTTCGTCTGATATTTGTTCAGCATCACTTTCACATATTACAATTACTCTTCGCTTGTAATTATCCAAATAGTTGACATCATCTTCGTCACATTTATTAAGCAAATTCTGAGTGATTCTATCATTCAATCCTGTCATCGTTGATTCTAATGTTGATGTTACTGTAATATCACTTTCTTCATCTTCAATATCATTGTTCAGTATATCTTTCATATCAGTATTAGCAATCACTGTATTTGTGCTAACAGACATGAATGAATTTGCAAGTTTAGAATGTTCACTATCTTCCATTATTGTTGGCAGTAAATCAATGCCATCAATAATACTAGCATGAGGATTGCATATTATCATTAGATCATCTAATTCATCCAAAATTTCATCTTTATCATCAATTGATTCAATTTCATGCAAAGAATTTGCTTCATCCTCTAATGAATTTATTACAGTCGATTCGTGTGCTTTTGTATCCACGAAAATATGAGAATGTTGTATTGGCTTCTGAATGCTCTCAAAAAGAGCATTTTCGGATGTACTACTTCTTAGATTATCGATTGATTTCGAATTTTCATTTGTATTTCGATCTAAATAAACTTGATAATTCGAAGTATTTTCATTATAGTTCTCATCTAATTTAAATGTTGTAGAAATCTTCTCATCTTCCAGCACAGTAAAGTTTTCGTCCAATTTTGCATCATTTTCAGTAATAGTTTCAGCTTTACTTATATTCATATCTGATAAATCTTCAAGTGTTTGCAAAAGTGTTCCGTCAGGTTCCTCTCCAGTCTTATCTGTTGACTCAAATAGCAATAATGAATGCATAACGGATTCAGGTGCATAGTCAGAATCTTCGCATAAAAGTTGTATAGAATTAGATTCATCAAATATTTCCAATAAAATGTGGTATGCTTCTTTAGATGGCCAAATATACGAACAATTATAAAAGCTGTTTTCTTTTCTGATAATTCCTTCATAATTGATAATTCTTTCATCAAATGTTTGAGATTTTTGTTTAGGTATTGACACACTTAAATCATTCATTAGCTTTAAACAATCACCGACGTAAAACTGCGACACTTCTTCATCCTCCGTTTGCATATTCGTTGTCATAACAGGCATTGGATGATAATTTGGCATATCAGAAGAGGATGATCGAATCAGAAAATTTTCATAATTATCGCATGATTTTGAACGATGCTTCTTCATACGAAATGGCGGAATTGGTGGCGGTGATAATGGTGAACTAACTCCTTGCTGATTCATTTCTTTTGATTTTCGTGGAGGCCGAACAGGAATTGCTTCTTGAGTAGAATGATGTGAAAATGAATTAGCTTGTGGATCAATAGAATTTGATGAGAAAACTTCATCATCCTTGTTGATAGTTGATTCCGAAACAGCTGTCCATAATGGATCAGTTTTTATCTCTTCTAAAGTCTTGTTTTTATCATCAAAAATTGCGTTATCATATGTGGAAATTTGAGAATTTTCACTTTTTGATAATTGTTTGCCATATTTGTCAGATAAACTTAATAATTTGACAATAGCATTGATAACTTCTGATTCTTCACGTTTTACAAAATATAAATTAACCGAAGCATCTGTTTTAAAAAAGAAACCAGTCCTGGAATAAGGTGATAAATGATGATGAGTTGATCGTTTCGATGATTTCATTCCTTCTCTACTAACATTTAATCCTTTCTCAATAGATGATTTCTTCCCAAGTCTTTTTCGATACACTGATATTAGATCAATCATTGAGGAAACATTATTGCGTACTTTATGCAATAAACCAACTGCAGCATCAATGCTTGTCTTTGAGATATTTCTTTGACAGCAACGTTTGATAATACTTATTTCATTATTGATTTGCATCAGAATATTATGCACTTCATGTTGTTTAGCATCAGTATATACCGGGAAGATAGCTTCAGCTTCCGCAGTAGCAGTAGCAGTAGCATTAGTAGCAGCATCATTTAATTCTTTCATACCTTCTTCGTCTTCTGCCTCCTCCTCAACTTCTCCAAGCATACATTCCAAACTTTGAAGTTGTTCCTTAATATTTGATGTCAATGGTGTCATCTTTCTAATCTCTTGCTTATTGATACTTCCAATTTGTTGCAATGTGCATAATGATACTCCACGAATTTCTCTCTCAATTGGACATTCTTCAATAGATTTGACATGCTCATCTTCAACACTAAATGATTTTGAAAATCTGGAATGTACCTCCGGAATTGATCGTCTCATCGATGACTCACTGAATTCTAATTCTTCTCTCTTCAATGTTTCTTCCAAATCAGTCAACTTTTCTCGCAATAATACAACTGGTCTTTTATAAGCAGCCATTGTTTTAGTAATACTATTCTGCCCAATATTTTTGATAATATTTTCAAGTATCGTTTTTAGAAGTTCTTCGCTTGCTTCTGCTTGAGCTTCTGTTACAGATTGCTGATGTTCGATTCGTTCCGATATATCATATATCGCACGCTCAATTTGAAGTACTTCCTCGTTATCTTCTGTTTTCATTTCAATTTCATTTTCAATTTCTCTACAAACTTCATCAATTACTTTAATCTTTGACAATAACTCGTTGGTAGCAGGGCTATGAGTTGAAAGTGATTCTTTTCCGGAAATTTTGGTATTTGAAGTTGAACCATCAACAATTTCCGGATTAACAATGGAAGATTTTGTATGATCATCTTCCAATACACAATGATTACACTCACTTATAGGCATAGGTAATGATGTGGAGTAACTTTCATTATGTTGTAATCTAGGATTAGTTGAAGCAGTGAAGACATCAAATTCTTCGCTGGCGTCAAAAGTTGCAGCAGCATCTGTGCTTTCTATCGAACTTGTAAAATACAATGGATAGGTTTCTGTAGTAAGATGAGAATGTAATTGTATGTTGTCCAATGTATTGAGACTATTGCAAGTATCTAACTTAGTATAATCTCCTTTACTTTCACAATTGCTAAGATTTTGTCTCGAATTCTCATCTGAATTGTAACCAACTTCACATGTTAATGATCTAGTTACCATTGGCTCAATGCTTTCTTTGCTAAGTACCATATTTTTGAAATTTGGATTTGAATTTAAGCAAGGCGATAATGTGACATTCTCTACAAGATGACTGTTTGCTGAAGTTAATTCGGCTATCGGTAAATCCTGAACTGCTTCAACATAATCGTGGCAAAATGAATAATTTAAATAGTCGTCACAAGCAAAATCCTTAAACGGGTCATTCTCCATCTGATCACCTGTCGTATCCAATTTATTGATATCATTTTGCTTGTAAATGCTCGTATCGGTAGAAATCGTAGGTACTGCAGACTCAAAATCAAACAGTTCATCTACATATCGTTGAATTGCAGCTAAAGTGTTGGTACTGATTCCGGGATACGTTTCAGATGCTTCAGATGTATGTCGAAATAATTCATGCTTGAACTGATTGTTGTCATCATTGAGTGAAATATCATCATCATCATCTTTTTCCTTTTTACAAGTGATTTTTTCAGGGATTATCGGAATTCCGGATTCTTTCTCTTCTTCATCTTTGGAGCGAATATTTCCCTCATTTCGCTCATTTATTGCAACTTTCAACTCATTGACACTTTCTTTCATTTGAAGTAAATTTGTTGCATCGTTTTCTTCAACAGTATCAGCTAGCATTTCCATTGCAATATTTTCCATAAGTTCATTTTTGCTACAGATATTCTCGGTAGAATTTTTAATAGACATTTCCAATCGTAATTTTTGTGATCGACAAAATTCATTATCCCATGCAAATGCATTTTCAGATTTTTTAAGCAATAAAATTTCTTCCCATGGTTGACAAATTGCAAAGTAAACATTTTCAAATGTTAATTTTCTCACAGATAACAGCAAATAAGCTTCCTCAGTTTGTTGCGATAGAAAATTTTGAATGATAAAATCATTCGCTTGATATGATAATTTCAAATGCAATGCAACAGTTGCGCAATTAATTAATGCCCAAATAAAATCACACTTCATTGCAGCATCTGGCAAAAAAACAGAAATATTAAAACTTCGCTCCTCTGATGCCAAATTTGTAAACAATCCTTTCTGTGGCGCAATATAACGTGTCACAATTACCGCTGTCTCAGCACTTACTGGTTCATTTCGAGCAAACTCATAATTAACTATAAGAAATTGCTTCCGATGATTACTATTTATCTCTACTAAACTATTACAACTATCACTACGATTCTGATACACTATCCCATCAATATTACTAGATGAACTAATATTATCCACAAATGCGCAATTGTCGTTCTTGTTGTTGTTATTCCTGCCATTGTTGCTGTATGCTATATTTTCAATTATGGACTGTTGCTGGTATTTCAAAACATCAGCTTCAGCTAAAAACATAATACCATAAAGTTATTTTTAGCAAAAAAAAAAAAGAAGAAAAAAATTAATATGGTTAGAAAGCAATAAAAATATCTGTTTTTCTTTCTAAAAAAAAACAGATTTATTAACATGCTTGGTTAGAAAAAAAAAATTTGTTTATAAGCGCAATAGTAATACTTAATGGATGAGTAAGTAGAAAATTTTCATTATCATCTAAAATTACAATTTATTTTTTATTTTTTTACTATATAAATTCAATACTATAAAATGATGCAAAATTAAGAATGTTATCATCCAAAAAAAAAAAAGTATTACTATTGTTGATGACTGATTTCAATTATAATTGGATAGATAAGAAAATGTGAGCAGAAATGCCGCGTGAAAGACACGAGACTTAAACGTAACAAATGAAGAAATAAAGCAAAAAAAAGTAAGTATAAAAGGATAACTAGTCATTGGTAATTAAAATTGCTCTAAAATAAGGAAAAGCATGAAAGAGTGTAAAAAAAAAAGATGAAATGAAAATTTTCATTTTCAAAAATTAACATGAATTCCAGAACCTATTTTAAGAAGAGTTATAATCAATGATTGGAGATTTTGATTGATGATTTCTTGAATAGTTCTGAAGAAAATGATTGAAAAAGATAAGATAAAATGGAGAATAGAATACGATGCAATTATCAATGCTTGTAATAAAGTTGTTGTCCATAGTTTGGGTGGCAAAATTCATAGATATTTAAAAAGAACGACAAAAAGAAATTACTCTAACGTAATTTTCACTTCATACCATCACTTATAACGTTTAAATCTTGTACTTTGTAACAGCACATCTGCTGATCAAATTATTATCAATTATCATCGAGTAATTTTTTTTAAATAAATTATTTCAAAAATACAAAATTATTTCCAGTTTTTAAATTATTGTACTTCAAAAAATATATAACCATTTTCATTTCCTTAATTTAAATATTTCTAATCTAACTAAAAAGTTTTCATTTAAAATTAAAAAAAAATTTTTTTCTTCTAAAATAGATAAAAATGGAACTGTTCGGTTGATGCCTAAAAAATAAACTAACTGATAGTTTGTAAGAAGCATTTTGTGATCGCTTGACCAGCATCATTGGTTGCTTCACAGGTATATTCACCTTCATCTTCAATCGCAACTTCTCGAATTTTCAGAATGCAAACACCGTCTTCATAGATAATTTGATAAATGCTTAAAGAACATAAAATATAAAAATACGTTGTCGGCACGAATAACAAATATCTGAGAAATGAAAGAGAAATATTTAAATTAGTGAATAAATTTAGAAAAATTTAACTTAGTTTTTTTTTTTACTCATTACATGAAGAGTAATAATGGCAAAATTGAAGCATAATGGATATTTCATATTAAAATTTCAAATAAACAAAAATGCTTACATTAATAAAATTGAAATAGTCAAAAAATACTAAGCCTAAAGCCAATTTATAGAAAATAAACAGATGCTAATCTATGAATATCACTTTTATAAGATTATATTTCATAGCTAATATATGCTTACATTGACACAATGCATAAAAATGATCTAAAATAGATTTCATTTATTTCATAAAATGATCTAAAATACAAATTTCATTTAATTCAATAGCAATTTCGCGAATTCTTTGAAATGATGAAAAAGAGGAAGCACTCACCCGGAATTATGGATGACATCGCCATCTACATACCATCGTATCACTGGTGCTGGTGTACCACTAACAATACATTTGAATTGATGGCATTGTCCAACTATTGCTGTTGTATTTTCCAATGTTTTGATAAATTTTGGTACTTGAAATAATCCTTAAAAAAAATAATTTAAAAAGTTTTTTTTTTATTCTTGCATATCTCAATTGTATTATTAGAACAAACAAATTTTTCCTATTGTTTAATTGATTCTGAAATAAACATTAAATGGCTTATTAATAAATTAAGAAACATAAATTATTATACTTTAAAATATTTGAATTATCTAAGACAGCAATGATAATAATAATAATAATAACACTGATAGTGAGAAAGGAAATAATTATATCAACCTGTGGATGATGATTCGGACCATGAAATAGATGATGGTTCCAAAGGTTGTAAAGGTTGAGTTACATCCGTAATATCATGAACCGTTGGCGGTAGACTAACTGATGCTATCAGTTCAATCATCTTAATATTTAAAAATATGTAAAAATATGAATTTTTCTTTTTTCTTATTATAATAAAATTTATTTGTTTCATTTATTATTGGCTAACTTATCAAATGTTTATCATTATCAGAATACAAGCAATCTTATTATGTAATGTTTTCCGGTTCAACATAAATTATTATTATTGAATTAAAATAAGAATTATCCTTTATACAATTCTCAGTCTTACTGTTTTTTCCTTTTATTTTTGTCGGGATAATGGAACAGTTTAATAAAAAAAAAAATCAAATATTATGAGTTTTAGCTAGTTAAAGAAGAAATATCGTTTTTTTATGATTTAACTTTTTTCCTATAATTGAGATTATCAAAAAAAAAAAAAAAAAAATGTCACCTGATTTGGACATGTAGCATTAACTTCCACAAAAACAGCTATAACATTTGCTTCAGTTTCCTCAGATTTTTCATATTTCTTTTCATATGACCAAATACTTTCCTTAAATTTTAAAAATTTTTGATAAAATTGTTATTAATAAAAATTATTAGAAATTAAAACCATTTCATCAGATATTTAACATACATACATACACACCTGCTTTGAATGAAATCCAGGAGCAGTAAGCATAGCAACATTTAAAGTTGCTTCATCTTCCACAAAACTTTCATATTCGATGACAAGTGCTTGATGTGCCACATCTCCTTTCTTGGTGAATGTTACAAAAACGCTGGTAAGCTAAAATTAATCAATTTATAAAAAAATATTTTAATAAATATGTCAGGAAATTTTCTGAAAACATTTAATATTATAGTACTAATGAGCACCGTAATATAAAATGCTTCAAAAATTAAATAATTATAAGTTAATCAGAAAATCTGTAAAATAAGTAAGATAATCAAAAAATTTAAAATTGAATTATGATTTTGGAGTTTGAATTATGATTTTGAAGTTTCTAAAAAATTAATGTTTAAAATTTATTAACCTTAAGCTTGCTAGCTGCAGCAGCAATAGCAAGTAATTCCGGAACCATTCTCCTCGTATCGACAACTGTTGTTACATACTCACCGATCTCTTCCGGTTTGTATACTTTAATAGTTGCATGCGCTACTGTTATATCATCTTCCGTTGTTTCTTTAGAAATCTAAAATATAAAAGAAATGATATGCGATTTGAACTGTTAAATTAACAAAAACTGTAAAGTAAAACTACCCTTAAATTACAGTAAAATTAAATGATAGATAATTCACTAATGATAAAAATTTCCATTATCACTTATTGGCAGCTAGCTTAAAAAAAAAAGTAAATTGAAAAAACTTTTTTAATTACTTCTTTATTTTCATTTATTTATATAAATTAAGACTGAGCAATAGAAACCTTTTTCAAGTTCCATGTAATAGCTTCACTGAATTTTTGGAATGAACTTTGAAGTATAACAATTCTTTGTTCAGCTGTAGCATTCTTTCTTGGATATTCAATAAATATTGATTCTGCATGCAATGATTCCGATTTTTGTTGCAAGTGAAAATCGGAAGTTGCAAGATTTTTTACAAGTATCGGTGCAATCAAATGTATGCTAAGATTTTCCTGTTCCGATTCAACAATTTTTATGAAATGATCAAATATGGCATCCGGACATCTTACGTCAACGTTTGCTTCCGCATATGCTTCACGGAACTTTTCCTGTATTTATTGCAATTATAGTTGATATAATATTATTTTAAATTAAATCATAAAAAAATTTTTAAATCTCTATAATTTAGGTAAAAGAATAAAACAACAAAACAAAATTCCAGCATACTAATTATTTGCTGAAATGTTTTAGGAAAATTTGTTGAAAGAATAGAATTTAGAAACCTCTGTAGCCATAATGGTACTGATAAGTTCATTGACAATTTCGATTCTTTTAAGATCAATTGTACTAACAGCTTGAACTTTCTCTTTGCTTACATAAGCCTAGAATAATTATAACTTATGGTAATTAAAGAAGTAGATTACAGAAGTAGTTACAATTAATATAAGCAATGAGATACTAATACTCTGTAATTCGAAACATTCGATATAAGATTTAAACGATAAAATTTGCTGTAATAGAAATAATAAAGTAATTTATTACTTTACTGAAACAGTTTACTTACTAATATGTTCAAATGTAAGCTCATTTATCTATACAATATGTGGAAGCATCCATTTCATTCAATATTCAACAAGCCTAGTTTTTAAAATTCTAATTCAATTCCAATTTTAATTACCACTTTCAATCTAATTCTAGAAAATTTTGTACTGATAACCTTGTCATCGTATAAGCAGGTAATTTCATGAACAGCTCGTTGTGATGGCTTCTCGAACACAACTGTTGTTATGGCATTAACCACTGATTGATGTTGTTTCAGGACACGTTGATCACCAATCAAAAGTATATCATTAGTTTGAATTACTTCTTCTGCTCTCGTAGATTGCGGTTCACGTCGACATATGGTAACGCTTTCATCTGTTGATCGTAAAATACGTGCATCATGCTTGAAAACTGACGGTGTACGTTCAACATTTACGTTTAGCATTACTTCCGTTACTTCTTGCTCTCTTTCAATCATTTTTTGCATCGATTCACGTGTTATGATTACGGAATCATCGTGAATTTTACTGGTTGATGCAAGACACGAATAACCCAATGCAAAAGTTTCTGGCTGAATAGTGGAGAAATAATGATCGTAGGATTCGGCAGCGTGAGTAACATGAACATTTGAAGATACTTCCGTTTCAGTTTCTGATAAAGTGTAAATCAGCGGAGAACGAGTCATTTTATGCGTGGATTCGGACCAATCTGTAACATTTCAATCGATAACACAAAGTCAAGTTCAACTCCTACTGATCGACCGAAAATTATTTGAGTTTCGAATTTAATTCTAGTATTGGAAAACACTATTTTCATAGTTTATAAGACAAAAATGTACCAATGGCGGTATCAGTCACGCGTAAATTGCATGGCAAAACCGTTTTTCCGTAATCATTTTCCGCATGACAATAATAAGTGCCTTCATGTTTCTTTTGCACATTTTTAATTGTTAATATAGCTTGCTGATTCACATATTTCACTTCGATTTGTCTGGAAGAAAGATTTCTATAAATTATAATAACTCAGAACGACGGAAAAAATATGAAGTTATGAGGTGGCGGAGATAAAATCCTTCAATTCATTCTCTTGCATCAGAATTAACCTTTCAAATAAATTCAGCATTTGTTTTTGTTTTTTGTTTTTTTAAAAAAGAAACAGTAACTAAATTTAGATCTATATCATTAAATATTTGAATTTAAAAGCTATGTGATATAATTAAACCTGTATTATTGGTAAATACTTGAATTTCTTGAATTTAAAGACTATTTAATATATTAATTCAGACTAAATACTTGAATTTAAAAATTTTGAAAATATTTGACATATTAATTTACATTTACAGTAATTACTAAATTTCAAAGGTAGTTAGATGGATAACTTAAAAAGGATGAAATCGAATTAAATATTATATTATTATATAAAATTATATAAAATTGAATTAACATATATATATGGAATGAATTTTCAACTTACTCAGATTGTTCAAGTTTTTGTTCACCAAAATACCATTCAACATTTGGCTGAGGATATCCACTAATATCAGTATGCAACACGACAGCATCACCAATATCAACTGTATAACATTCGATATTTGTTTCAAATCTATAAATTATATGATATATTAATGCCCTCTCTCTCTCCCTATTTTAATTCTAAAACATATCATAAATGTCATTTTAAATATGCTAATTATAAGCATATTTCGTCTCGAAAATTTAGTATCACAAAACTCTGAAATATTAAAAATAAAAATATAAATAAAATTAAAAAAAAAAAAAAAAGAAAAACCCCTTGTTTCTAATGTTATGTTTCTAACATAAATCCTTTATAAAATGTTCCCTACTTCATATTCAAATGATATATTAATTCTCCCTTTCTTTGTTTACATTATGACTGTGACTATCTTAGAGCCAAACAAAGAATTTATTATCATTCCCAGTTCGTCACACTAAAACAACAGGCATAACTAAAAAAGGTTCTCCTCCATTTAATACCTCAATCTTCACAAATTTTAAAATGAAATACTATATTCCTGTGTTACTCTCCACATATTTTCATCTACATCAAACAAATCTGCCGGAGATCAACAAACCCTTTCCCAAATAATATTTATTTCCACTGTAACAAACCTTGGTGGACATGGCTGTTGTTCATTGATTGATTCAAATTCTTCCTCTTCACTAGATTCAATTGATACTACATTCATTCGTCTCAGTGCTATATTTATTGCTTCATCGATTATTACTTTAGCGACTAATTTACTTGCAACAATTTCGGCAACTTTTACCAATAGCTTATATTCAGCTAAAATTAATTTTTTTTAAAATTATTTTATAGGAAGTAATATAATTGAATCTAAAAGCATTAAAAAATGAGTAATTTAAACCTTCAGTTTTTCGTAGTTCCGCCGTATGACTATATACCTCTTGACTACCGCTTACTTCAGGCTCTACTGATACTTTAACCGTTGTATCGGTGTATCTCTGAAAAAAATTTACTTTAAATTTTAAGACAATACTTTTAAACTGAACTTTCATAGAATATTCAAATCAAACTAAATTATTTTTTTAAGTTTCCTATTTATCTTCTTTAAATTTTCATTTTTTAAAATTCGTTTCTTTATAAGCTTATTTACAATTCATCATTCAGCACTTTTCCTCCATGAATGATTACAATTATTCTAAACAATTAAAAGTTATATAAGATATTACATACCTTCTTCACATAGCCAATATTATCCTGCAATCCAATTACTTCACTATCATTTTCTTCAACTAATATCTCCTCACTTATTTCTCGAGTTTTAACTAAAGGTCGAATAAACATGCTTGTTTCTGAGCTACCATATGTATTTTCAGCATGGCATGTATATGAGCCTAGAATAGAAAAGTTTTTATATTAGCTTCACAATATGACATATTTTTTAAAGTAAAATTCTATTGTCTTACGATACAGGAAAGTAATGGGAAATTATTATCAATGTTATCTTTTTTTTAATACTTAAATAAATTTCCATACTTAATAAAATGAAATTAATAAATAAATGCACAAAAAAAAAGAACAATATTTTGTAGTATCAATTAATTTATTTATGAAATTTATTTATTTATTTATTAATAAAATTACAACACCAATGGATTTATCATATTTATTTTGTTATTCATCTATTTTATAATCAGTTTTCTCTTCATTTCCATGTTTACTATTTATTTCTATCGTTGATTAATCATTCATTTAATCATATCAGATAGATTATACCTTCATCCCATTTGTCAACATTGCATATTGTAAGCGTATACGTATTATCAGATAATTTCTGCATGCGATACTTGTAAGTTTGATAGAGACGTTGTCCATCCTTAAACCACGATATCACTACTGGTGTTTCACTTATCACTTTACAACTCACAATCATATCATCCTCATACTGTTTCGATATTACATTACTGAATCGTGGCTTTGATACTCCTCGATGAATCACTTCTTGAATTTCACTTCTCTAAATAAATTAGACAGTTGAAAAATTGAGCTAAATTAAATTATCACTAATATAATAATTAATTATAATATGACCAACGTAAAAAATATTTGTATAACAATTTTATTAGAGTGAGAAATTTATTGAAGAAAAAATTAAATTTGCATAATATTGATAAATTTTTTTATGACTTTTTTAATTGAGAACTGAAATTTCTACCGTTTCTGTTGTTGTCGTTTCTACTGTTTCTCTCCCTGAAATAATATTTTTTTATTGAAAAGTAAAATATAACTAAAGAATTTCAAATTAAAATTTAAATAATACAATTATAAAACTCATACAATTAATTCATTCTTTTTCCCGAAACATTTTATCATAAAAGAGGTTATTCCATCGTACAAAATTACTCGTTTTCTGCTTACTTTCAACGTGAATATAAGCTGAAGTATTTGTGGATCCATGGATATTACGTGCTGTTAACTGGTATAAACCAGCATCTTCCGGTTCACAGTGCGGATTAATTAATTCATGTCTGCCATCCGGATATTGAAGAGTGATGAGCTCTTTTTCTACCATTCCATCATCAACACGAATTCCATCTTTGGTCCAGAATACTTCCGGTCGTGGCAAACCATCAACACGACAACGTAATTCCAGTGATTCACCTACACATTTATATGCATGAAATTTGTGAAAAATAATTCAAATATTTTATAAATTAATGAGTATGAGAAGATGGAAAATTTAATTTTAATTTTTTAAGTCAGATTAAAAATTGATCATATTACAGAAAGTATTAATGTTAACTTCATAATTTCTAATATATTATATTGGAAGATTAAATGATGTTTGCCTTATAGTAGCACTTCCTGATATATCACAATAATATAAAAAATGAAAAAATCTGATCAATTAGCTACCTGCTCGAAAAACGAAAGGTCGTAAAGGTAAAACAATTCGTGGTGGTCGTTCAGCTGGTATAGTTTCTATTTCCGAAATAAATTCATATGATTTTTCACGTACTGAAAGGCAATACAAAATACTCTTATGATGATTCCAATGGAAGAATTTAAATTTCACTTTTAACTGATGAACTACTCTTTATTTTCCTTCTAAAAATTTCTGAAAAAATTTTAAAATGGAAAAGAAAGAAGTAATTCCTTTTCATGAATAAAGGTAAGATAATTAAAATAATTATTATAATAATTACGATTAAAACTCCAAACATTTAGAATAGCGTGCATCTCTTCTTAAATTACTATATTTTTAGATGAAATCATTGTAACTACTCCTATGTTAATAAAATACTATAATATACTGTAAATAAAATGATTATAGCTATATTGTAATACTTTTTTAGTCAAAACTTTTAGGTAAATAATAAAAAAAAATCGGTTGCACGAGAGTAATAAACGTTAGCTTCAAATATTAATAGAATTAATTAAGCATATATCTATTACTAAGTTTATAATTTAAATCCGAAGACTACTAACATGGATGAACGATGATTTTAGCTGTTGACCTTGCAGTACCATATTTGTTACTTGCTACAACTGATAATTCACCAGAATGTTTTGATAACATCGATTTGATGTAAATAGTAGATTCATAAAATGTAGATTCAATATGAAATCCCGGAATTGTACGGATATCACGTCCGTTAAGAGTCCAGAAAAATTCACACGGACTAGATTCCACATTAATAGCTACATGTGCGGTAAATTCATCATTTTGTTGTAAATCTTTATCGGCTAAGATGATAGTATAACGTGGTGAGGATGGTTGTGTATCATTCACTTCTGCTAATGAACTTTCCACTGAAGTAGCACTGCTAGCAGTGAAAGATGTCGTTGGTGACGGTGGCCTTACTGTCGTCTCAGACCATACAGCTCCGTAAGTATTGGAGACTTCAACCGCATAATCGACATCACATACGGTTTGTTTACGTACAACTAATGTACTGTTTTCTAAATCATTAATCATTTGATGTTCGACACTATTTGACAAAAGACTACCATCTGCAAACCAACGGAATGTAATCGGTTGCTCACCATGCACCGATACAGAAAGACGGAATTCTTGTTCATCAGGATATAACTGTGTTTCACCTGGTAGTGCTTTTATAAAGACAGGAATTTTAGGAATAACTGGTCTTACGATTGGTTGAATTGGGGCAATTTGCGCCTCTTCTGCATAATCAACAATTACTTTCCCAGAGCATGAATCTTGACCTAATAAATTTGTAGCTATCACTTCGTATCGTCCACTTATCGGATTATGGAATGTAGCTTGTGAAATATTTACTCCGAGGCGTTCAACAGTAACTGTTTGACTCGGTCTTACTTCGAAATTATTTAACATCCAGCGGAATTCCGCTTCCGGTATTGCATCTGCAGTAACACGTAATGTGAGCGGTTCATTATTGGCAATTTTGAGAATTGGAGCGAAAGCTTCCACAATTCGAGGAGCTTTGGGTAAATCATCTCGTGTTCCTTTATGAGATCTTTTTACAAGCTGATATTTTGATTCTAGCTTCTCCGGCACTGATCGAATCACGGAAACAGTAGACTCAGTTGTCCATTCTTCAGTAACTTCAGTAATCACACGGGTTGTACTGCTACACGAACCATGAATATTGGAAGCAACCATTTTATAAGTACCACTAATTGGTTTCAAAAATGTAGCCCGACTTTCGTTCACTGTTGGACTTTCAAGAATGACTGATGATGATGGTCGGACTTCAAAGTTATTCTGATACCATTTGAATTGAGATGGTGGTGATGATTCAACTTTAGATTCTAACACAAGCTTTTCACCTGCTTTTAGACGAATTTCCGGCTCCGGTTGCTTTAAAATGAATGGATATTTTGGAATTGGTTCCGGAACACGATGTACTGGAATACGGAATGTTTTCTTTTCGATATCAATTTCTTTTTGTAATTTTGTTTTTGTGGATGATACATTATCATTTATGATTTCATATCCATTTTCCATACCATTAACTTCCTCGTATTTTTGTTCCGTAAATGTTGTTGTATCTAACATTGGTTCAGTAGTAAATTTCGATGGTAACAATAATGCCTGCGGTGTTTCATAAATAATTTTCGAAATGCCACTTGTCACTTCTTCGTATCGTTTTTCTGTGTAAGGTGATGTATGTGATATTTCGGAAACATTTACTCTCTCTAACGGTTCATGAATGATAGGTGTTATTGGTTTTGGTAGTAATTGTGGTGGAATTTTTGATGTTTCATAATTATTTGTACTCCTTCCATCAATAATTTCTTCATTTTGACGTACGTTATACGTAGATGAATGAAATGATTGACGTGAAGTGAACGCTTCCTCACGTGGTGTTGGTGTTGGTGTTTCATAACCTTCTGTAGCTGCTCGAACTGTCTCCACATATTTAACAGTTTCAAATGAATCAGCTGATTTGCTCGATCGTTGTTGTTCATCGATCAATTCCCAACCATCTACTAATCCAGTGGTAGTAATACTAGCAGCAATCGGTTGTTTATTCGATTCCAAATGATATGATTGTTCTTTAGTCATCTTTTCATCTTCTTTATTCACATCATAATGAACTCGTGTACTTTGATTACTCATACCATATTCATTCATTATTGTCACATTATAACGTCCATAGCGAATTGGTGATCGAACGGTAAGCGTTGAATGATCATTTTCATTAACTATTGTAACTTTTTTTGAATCTTTTAATTCAAATCCATTTACATTCCATTTCACATCTGCTCTTGGAATTGCTTTAAAATCAACATTGAGCATCAAATCATCATCTGAACCAATTGCAATTTCAACTGGTAATTTACTAGTAAAAATTGGTTTTTGTGGTAGCAAATGTTGTGTTGTTTCACTGTAACGTCGACGTTTTATAGGCTGTAGTAGTTGTTCTTCTTTTGTTTCAACAAATTCTTTTAATGATAAGTATTGTTGTTCACGATGTTGCTCTTCCTTCCTTTGTTGTTGTTGTTGTTGTTGTTGTTGCAATTGTTCTGAGTCTAAAAAATTTGATTTTGCAAGAAAGCAAAAAAACTAAACAAACAAACAAAAAGAAAAAGAAATATAACACAAAAGAAAACAAAATAACAAATCAAAAACAGAATGAAAATTTGATTTAAAAAAATTTACAAATTATTTATTTCAAAAAACATATTTTTCAAAACATTCCTCCTCTCCCAAACAAAAAAAAAAAAAAAAAAAAAACGCAACTTCAAATAAAATAAAATAAGCAATTCATTTTTTTCATTTTGTTCAGTTAAACACTGCATGCAAATTTTGTTAACAGAAAAGATGCACATCATTTTGATTGGAAGAAAAATTCAAACATTCACCAAAGAATTCTTATAAATAAACAAAAAAAATATTTTATTACCTATAATGAAATAAATCATAAAGCTTTCGTTCTATACAAATACTTATTAAGTATAAAATAATTCATTTTTTTAATTTTACTAATTTAATTTAACTCATATAAAACTAGTTCATTTAATTTAACTCATATAAAACTAGTTCATAATTTACAAACATTCAAATATTAAATTTTTAGTGCATAGATGATAAATGATTTGAAAAATTCTTTTTCATTTGCATCAATTTTAAATCAAAATAAAAGATTAACTATTTGGTCACTATTCAAAGAAGAATTTGCAATTATAAATATTATTCACAATTTTTTCGTAAGCTATTCATCCTCAACACTTTATCCCTCAATAAATCTTTGTTATCATTGAACAAAAAACGGAAAAAAAGAAGAAAAAATGTTTGATGAATAAAATTTTCGAAATTAATATTACAACATTTTTATTAAAATCATAAAGCCATTATGTTTGAGAATTTGTTCCTTTTATGTTTATAATATTTCATACTTTAAATAAACTTTAAGTGTCTTCTTCATTCATTAAAATTTGTTAATTATAAATAACTGCTGAAGATATTTCATCAAATTGTATAAGATAACAATTTGCTATCAGTAAAATAAATTTTCTATGACTTTTTGCTAATGATATTAATTTTATTTAAATGTTAACACAAAAACGAACCATCTTTTCGCTTTCGAATGATTTCCGTTGTTTTCTTAATTTCATATGGATAATCAATTTGTCGAGGTAAGCTTGTCGAGCGTTGATAATAGCTACTTTCTTCATAATAATCAATTATTCTACTTACTGAAGATGCTCGTCCTCGACCTTGTAACAATGGTATATCACCTATAAACACTCATAAGTTTGAAATGATAATTTAAAAATGAAACTTTCATTAATCAAAATAGCCTCGAAAAAACAAAACTTTTAAAATGAAAATAGTAAATTATAAAATGCTTACGATGTTCAGATTCGGCATACGATGAATGATGATAGATATGATCATTTGGTAGAGGTGGTAACTGTGTTTGATGATGCATAACTTCTATAAATAAGTATTATGAGTTTCGTTATGTCAATATTTAAAAGAAAGTAAAAAAGTTTTTTTTTTTTCTTATTGTTTACTTTAAATTTATAATCGTATTCAAGAATGAAATAATGTCTAATTTATATTTTTTTTTAAGTCAAATAGATTAGCAAGAATATAATAATTACCATTTTTGATATCAATATATCCGATGCTGTGCTCTTTACCGGCTCTATTTTCCGCAATTACTTTGTATTCACCCTTTTGAGGAATTGGAAATCGGGCAATACAACGATTAGCTACCGGATAATAAACTTCGATCTGTCCCACCGTATCACGAAACTGGACACCGTTCACGTACCAAGTAAATCTGAAATAGTAAATACGTCATATTTCTGACCATAAATAAAATACTAATCTCTTTTAATTTATTTGATAGTAATATTGCAGTCCTAACGAAAAAGATTAAAAAAGAAACAAAAAACAAAAAAACAGCACAAGCACTTTTCCCAACACTGTTACCATCTCATTATTTGCCTTAAAATTTATGTTAAAAATCATTTCAAAATAAAATCATAGCATTAAAAAAAAAGAAAAAAAGTGACATCATTTCACTGATAAAAAAAATTACTTTTAGTTTAGAAAAATTTTTATTTGAATTATATCGTTTCTGAATCAATAAATGAACATTACTCTTTCTACATTCCAATAAAAAGTGTTACTTGTTTGAGCATTTCACATTTCAATATTTGAACTTAAATTTTTGTCAAAAAAGTGGATAGTCAAAAATTTTTCAAAAATGTAAAATACTTGTTATGAGAAATAAATGCTAATTCTGGGAATTATATTATACTATTAATATAAATATTGAACTTATACTTGACGTATTCGCGTAAAGATTAAAGAAAAGTTTTAAATATCATTTTTTTTTCTATTTTTTTCGGTTCAATTTTTTCATTTTTTTTTTTTTTGATTTGCACATTATGTATTCATCAAATAAGTGCACTTAATGTATATGCATAATTTTGACGTGTGAATTTCACGTGTAAACTTAAAATGAAGAAATAAGTTTTACTTGGCTGGTGGCGATGCTTCCACTTCAACATCAATAAGTGCTTCAGTACCAGGTCGTAATGTTAAATTTGGTATTTGTTGGATAAATTTGGGTGGAATATCGGTCGATGTTTCTAAAATAATAATTTGATTTGAAAAAATATGTTATATAAAATAAAATTTAATTACAAAATAATTTAAACCATTTTTTTTTAAATAAATAATTCTTCACCATCCTCAATTATCACTAAAAAATGATTGGTAAATTTACCGATGTTTTCTTTATCGATAATTTCCATATTCATTTCTTCATTAACTACATATGTTTGCTCTAACCATGTTTTGTATGATGGTGGAGCTGAAAAAGTATTTCAATAGAAATGAAAATAAAAATTCTAAAATAATAATTTGATTAAAAAAAAAAAAAAAAAAACATAAAAATTCTAAAATAATAATTTATTTTAGAATTTTTATGTTTTTTTTTTTGATTAAAAAAAAACATACATATTTTATTAAAAAAAATGGAATTTGATTTGCGATATTTTTCCATTTTCTAATAATATAATTAGAAATTAATTTGCATTTATGAAAAAGACGAAATTTTATCAATTATTAAAACATTAATATTAAAAATAATATTTTAAATTTTAACTTGTATATAGCAGTTTATCAACAGATTTGTTTAATAAATGAAATTTCAAATTAAGAAAAGAAAAAACTAAAAAGGAGTGGTACCATTGACAGTAACATAGCCATATGTAGTGGATATGCCAACCGGATTCCGTGCAGTACATTTATACACACCCTGTTCCGGGCCCTCAACGGTCAGAGTGGTAATGTTAATTCCATGACGTGCCTAAAATATCATTTGTTTACTTTAACAAACTTTATTTTATACAATTTTTTCTATTATGAAATTTTATATTATAGCCTTCAGAATTATAAAAAAATTACTATTTCCTTAAAAAACAATCAAACCTTAAATTTGCGCCGATTTTGTTGTATTGGTCTATCATTACAAAACCATTCAAAAATTGCTGGTGGATCACTTTGTACTTCAACAACAAGTGTTAATGTATCAGTGGCTAATACTCGAAATGCTTTAATTACCTGGAAAGAGAAATAATAAGGTAAGGATAAAGTGAAAGTTATAATTAATGTTAAATTTTAATAGAATACATTCATAGAGCACTAATCTTTTAGCAAGAAGTGAATGAAAATTATTTTTACACCTTTAAATTTTTATATCAAACTCATACCACAACATATTAAATATATTCTTAATAAATGATAAAATAAAAAATACACAAAATAATCTAACTAATTTAGCAAATTGCTAATTACCTGTGAGAATGTAGAGTTTGTTAATTGAAAAAATAATTAGCATATACCTGTATAAATTTAGGTGGTTCAGGCATTACATATGATTTAATTTCCGATGACCAATGCTCTTCGGCAAAATCTCTGGTAGTTCTACCTGAACTTTCCAGAACATGTATCTCTTCAATAGTTCCTGCGTTTTTATGATAAACTTTTTCACGATCTAAAATTATATTAATCAAAAACGATCAACTATTATGAACTATTTTATGAATTGTTCAAACTTAATTAATTACCTGAATAAAAGGTATAAAATAGCTTATTCGATAAACTATTTATTCAGATCGTTGAGATTTATTTCAACGTACATTAATTGGTTCTCAAAAATGCAAAAAGGGAAAAAACTATAAATAAGACTAGAATGCAGTAAATTTTCATAAAATATAAATTTTATAATTGAATGTGTAAAATAAACAAAGACTAAATGAACTAAAGCATTGATTCAATTATTAATTTAAAAAATTTAACAGTTTTTTTTTGGTTTTTTTTTTTGAAGAATTTATTCAAATTTCCAAAAATCATTCTCATTTTTACTTTCATCAATCTTTCATTTTTTATTTAAAAAAAAAATATAAATATTTGGTTAAATAAAGACAAAAATGAGATGTAGAAAATTTTGAATTTATTAATTAAGCACTTACTTGTTGAATAAGATATGACAGCATCTTTATCATTTTTATCAAGTGTTGATGAATGAGCTATTGGCTCATCTTGTTGAATTGTTTTAACATTCATCCAATTTCCATCTTCTATTATTTCCATTCTATAATTCATTAATTAATCATTGCATTAATTTCATAGCTAATTGTGTCAAATTAAACAAAATAATAAAATATTTTGTGAAAATGTAATCATATTTAAAAGATATAAGTATGTTTTATAAAATATCATTTCGTTTATTTCAAATTTTGTCTATTATTTATAAAAAAAAAAAAAAAAAAAGAAAAGGAAAACATTTACTTTAAACTATTTTGAGAAGTAGAAGCATTTTTGCAGTGCGACTTTTCTCGCTCATCCATTTTCCGCTCGAAGATAAACACACACACACACACACAAAATATACAGTGAAATTATTTAAGTTCGATCGTCTTCTCACTTCTTAACCGACTTCTTTCCTATCATTAAAAGATATTATTATTATTATTATTTTTAATTAAAATGAATTTATTCAATTAATCAATTTCTATCATTAAAATTTCATCAACCAATTTCATATTTACATTATTAAAATTTCTGTTACAAATAATTTTAATAATATGAAATGAAAAATAGAGAGAGAGAGAGAGAGATAATCATAAGTTAAAGAATATACCTTTTTAAGCGCTATTTTGGCGCATTAGCGCCCTTGTTCTATTTCACCAAATGTTGTATTTTTAACAAAATTCAAGATGTCGTTCGTCTAAAAATTCAAAATTGTTTAAATTCCATTTCTATAATTGAAAAAGATATCAAAGATGTAATTAAATATAACCGTTTTTTAATTATTAATTAATTATTTTGAATTGTGAAATGAATTTTTTAAATTCAATTAGATTTATTAATTCTATTATACTTATTATTTCTTTCAGAAAAATTTGCTCTAAATAGAGCATTGCTACACATAAATTTCAATGCACAACTAAGCATACTATCACTTTTTTACTAAACGCTCACATAAATCAAAGGTGTAATACCAACTGTTATGCAGTTTATTTAGAACAAAATATTTATCATATTATCAGCTATTATCAGCTTTACAAAAAGGTTCTGATATGATGCATTAGAATAAATTTTACATTGTTTATTTCATTATAAAAATTTCTGTTATTTCAAGGATAAAAATATATGGATGATGACGATTGAAAAAATTAAAAATTCATTTCAAATATATAAATTTGAGAAGATATAATGTTGACTGATTCATATTTGTAAATTATTCTTTCTAGATTGGATTTTTTAAAATCTATTACTTATTTCATGGCGACCTGCCAAATTATATTTCAATTTTTCAACCATAAAACTATAAATATAGCAAATTAGCTGCAAAGTTTTTATAGTTTCATAAAATCTGCAAATTTTGTGTGTCGAATACTATATGGTAAGGAATAATTCAAAATTTTTAATTTCTCCTCATAAACTTTTATTATATTAGTTCAAATTTTATTAAAGTCTGAAAGTTTACATATTTTTTTAGGGATATTTTTTGATGTCAAACATTTATGTCAAACAAAAATTACAACTGTTATTTTTCATTATATTGAAATTCCGAAAAGAATGATAGCGCAAAAAAAATTCCTTTGAAAGAAAAAAAAAGTAAAATTAAGCACTTTTTTCATTCTTCCATTATTGTCGAAGGATAATACTTAAATTATAATTTCATAACAGCAAAGCCTCAAAAATAGCTTTTTTCGTTTTTTTTCATAAATTTGTTTTTTATTTTTTTAAATAATGAATCAAAATATCAGTACTGATGAATATGGCCTTATAGAGAATGAGGCTTATATTTTCATCCTATTATAGGTTATTACTTACTCGCTTAGTAATGAATTAATAAATATAAAATTAAAGTTAAACAAAATTATAAATGTAGGAAAAGTTTGTGAAAAAAAAAGTCAAAAGACTGAAGCAAAGAAATGCATCAATAAAACAAAGAAAGATTATATTTAATATAGCAAAAATATTCGTTTACATGAAATAATAATAATTTTTATATAAGAATTGAAAGAAAAAAAGATGAACAAAATTGGAATATAAAAAATACAATATTTGCTTATTATTATTATTATTAAGTAAACAGTAAAGTGTATTAAAATACTTAATAAAATTAAAATGCTTATACTTTTAGGTAAATAAAGTTAAATAAAATTAGTAATTTTAGCAAACTGTTCGGAAAAAAAAAACTATTCTTCAAGATAACAAAATTTGAATGAAATCACAATGGGATAATCTTAAATGATTTTTCTTTTTTTTTTGCGGTAATTGGTAGAATAAGAATTGGATCAAAAAAAAAAAAAAGCTAATCTCAAAGAAGAAATAAAAGCTTTAATTACAGAAAATAATGACTTAAAAGCAAAAATAAAAGATAAATTGGATTTGAACTCAAAAAATTCATCTCTACCATCATCACAAGGCATCACTCTCTCTCAAAAATTCATCTCTACCATCATCACAAGGTATATCTCTCTCTCAAAAAATTCATCTCTACCATCATCACAAGGTATATCTCTCTCTCAAAAAATTCATCTCTACCATCATCACAAGGTATATCTCTCTCTCAAAAAATTCATCTCTACCATCATCACAAGGTATAAAAAATTCATCTCTACCATCATCACAAGGTATATCTCTCTCTCAAAAATTCATCTCTACCATCATCACTACCATCATCACAAGGTATATCTCTCTCTCAAAAAATTCATCTCTACCATCATCACAAGGTATATCTCTCTCTCAAAAAATTCATCTCTACCATCATCACAAGGTATATCTCTCTCTCAAAAAATTCATCTCTACCATCATCACAAGGTATATCTCTCTCTCTCAAAAAAAAAAAAAGAAAGAAAAGTTAAAACAATCAGAAGATCAGCTAGGATGTGAATTGAGCAATTTGATTAGGTTTGTGAATGTGGAAATAAAAAAAAAATATTTTAAAAGATGAAATTGTCCATTAAAAAGTAGAATTACCAGAAATTAAACCAATCATAATTGGTTCAAATTTAATAAATTTCACTAACTGAACTGCTTTTTTTTACATTTAAATTTTATTTTAGCCTTTATTACTTTTAGAATAGTCTTATGAAAGAGAATAATATTTTATATCAAACCTAAATCTAACCTATTGGCTTCGAAATTTTTTGATGACTTTTGATTTTTTTTTTTCACATTTCTTTCTTTGATAAAAACCTACTTTATATTTTTAACTTCAATAACAAAAAGATCACTTTGCTAATTACTTAGGATCAGACTTCTTATAAAATTTTTTGGTTTATTTATATTTGAAACAATTTGAGAAAAAGATTTGCAACTAAAACACAGTGAAATGAAATGGGAAAAAAGTGAAATGAGCGAGTGAAATTTAAATTTTTGGAAAAATCAAATTATTCGAGGAAAAATATTCAAGGAAAAAAAATATTATTTCAAATTAAATTATTAAACATTGAATTTGGTTGAAAAAAAAATAAGAAATGAATTTATGTGAATTTTGAAAAAGTGAATGTGAATAATGAAGCATCCCGTCTTTTTTTTCGCGTTTTATTAAATTAGCATAATATATTAGTATAATCTGATGATAAGTAAATTTGATAAAAGTTTTAAAGTGAAAAAGCAGCAAATAAAATCTTTGTGGAATATCATTTTCTCAATGAAAGAAGCAAAAAGAAAATATCAAATGAAATCGAAATAGTATTTGTTTTTTAAAAAATATGCAAGGAATATCTAAAAAAAAGGAGAAAAGAGTTGGACGAAATATGTAAATGTGATAAGTATTCCACATTTCTTCGGATGCAAAAATGAAGCAAATGATAAATAAATAAATAAATAAATAAATAAATGCTTATTTTTTTATTTTTTATAAAAAGGATGAAAAATTTATGAAAAAAAAAGAAAAAAAAAAAAAAAAAAACAAAAATAAAAAGTAGTAGTAATGTTAATAATTACTTAATAACCTAATAATTTCGACTATATTTTTTAATTTTAAATTAAATTCACTCAAATATTACAAATAATTTAGCATGTATAATTATTGATAAGCAAAATTTTTGTAAAAATAAACATGATAAATAAAATATATTTGTATTCAAAATTACAATTAAATTTGATAACTGAAATTAAAGCATAATAAAATTAGAAAAAAAAATAAAATTTAACAAAATCATAGCTTTAATTTTTAAATGGAATAAATTGTAAGAGAGAGAGAGAGAGAGAGGAAAAAAAAATATTGAAAACTTACTTGAAATTTGTTAAAATTTCATTGATTAGTACCCCTCTAATATTACCAAAAATTCAGATTTCTATTTCTAATTTTATTAATATTTACAAATTTTTTTCGTTTTCTTTTTCTTTCTTTCTTTCTTTTTTATTTTTTCTCGATTTCTTTAAATAGTTACTACTAATAAGTGAAAACGTCTAAGAGGGGCACTGTACTTGCACCAGAAAGTCGGTCAAGTTAGTGTGAAGGGTGAGATGTACACTGATAGATGTTAAATGTTGATTTCAACTTTAAAATCCTCTATATCAATGTCTTCCTCAAAATTGATTTGCTTCTTTTTATTTCAATCAAATCATACAATCTTATCAGTTCTCTCATTATCATTCTTTTACTTTCTAACAATATTTCTCAATGATTTTTTTCATACTTTTCTTTATCTCTGAAATTTCAATCATATTTGCAAAATCTTTTTGTGATATTGTAATGTCTACTTGCAATTAAGAAAATGTAATATAAGAAGAGAGAGAGAGAAGAACAATTCATTTTAGATGATCATATAATCCTCTCTCTCTCTCTCTCTCTCTCTCTCTCTCTCTCTCCTTACAACAAGTTCAAAGCGTGGGCTAATTGCTTTTAAGCTGGATGTTGTTGCTTTTGTTGTTATGCAAATCCTCAACTAAAATGCTTCATCCTTCAATTTCTCTAAATTTTCAATTTTAACAAACAAAAAAAAAAAAAAAGAAAAGATTTTTGCACAATTGTTTTCTTCTTTTCTCTCACATACCGCTAAGATAACTTTTTTTTTTCACTGATTCTTCTACAAATAACACAAAATCAAAGGATTTATTCGTTTTCTAAACAATCATACAAATATTGAATGTATTTTAGTATCGTAGCGTTTTCTTTCCTCGAAGACACGTATCAATTATTAAGTGAAATGATAGAACTGTGACGTACGTAAAAGACGAAAGAAAATTATTTGACGTATTATTTTCTATAGTACTAAAAAATATCAAATATTATGTAAAAAAATAAAATAATATTAGTTAATATTGAAATAATATTTAGTTTTGTATAATATTCAACGTGTGCAAAAAATAGCGTAATTTTATTACAGAAGTAGTATTTTTTTTTTTTTTTTAATACTTTGATATTATATATACAAAAATAAATTTCAAAACAAGTTTGTTACTTTTAATCATTTGATTAATTAGTTAATTAATTAATTGTTGCTGCATAAAATTTGATATTATTGATGGAAAGAATTTGATATATGAATGATATGTTAACAATATCAATAATAAAGTTAGGAATTTTAAGCAAAATGAATCAAATGGAATAGAACATTTCTCTAAAACAAAACGAAAGTATAGCTTAATGCACTTGGAATATCATATGTGTTTGTAATATTTTTTCGAAATTAAATTTTTAAATTATTTGAAAACTTCTTGTTTCTTAATTGCTTTACAGAAATTTAATGTCACAAAAAATATTTTTTTTTTTCATTTATCAAAATCGCTACAAAAGAATATTTTGTTGTTTAGAAAATGCAAATGGTAAATGAAATCACAAAAAAAAAATAAATAATCAAATTACCAAAAATTATCAAAAAAAAAAAAATCACAAAAAAAAAATTAGTTAAAAAAATTTGATCATTACTGAACAACTTCCACAGTAATAAATTGCTGCTGTGATCTAATTCATCTAACTTTATTTTTTTTTTTCAAATTTTGTATTCTAGCTTTTAAGACATTTAAACCAATATGAATAATACTTCAAAAAAAAAAAAAAAAAGGGAAAAAGAAAACAACGAATTTGTATTAGTCATTGGGATAAAATTAAAAATTTTCAATGTTTCAGTTCATCATATTTTGAGAAAAACATCTCTCAGAATACAAATCAATGTTTCAATTAATATTATTTAGTATCGAAGATAACTAAATCATTAAGCTTAATTTAATTTAAAATAACATTTTTGCTATCTTTTCTCATAACTTACAGGTGTTTCTTTTTCTACCATATGATAACTAACACACACATATGTATCCAAAGAATTTAGAAAGGAATTTCTTTTCTGGAATACTTTCCTTTTTTTTTTTTGTGAGAACGTTTCACTTAATCATCAGCCGGAAAAGCAGTTGTTGTCTTTTATTGATTAGCATTAGATAGAAAGTAAGATCTATTCGATTTCATGAAGAAAAACAGCTAATTACTAGTTTATCCTGAAAGTACGAATGTGTTGCAAAATGAATTATAAGAAGAGATATGCTGTATGAATTCTGTTTAAAATTCATTTTAAGTAGTAAATCTACAAAAAAAAAAAAATTTTTCAATTTTTTCCAGAATTTATTAAATGTGATCAACTTCGCTCATTCATATTTGTTATGCTAAGATTTTATATTTTAACCAGTTATGTTCAACATTTAATCTTATTATTGAAGATAAAAGTTAGATTAGGAAAAAGTTTTTTAATCAATTACTTCACATTATATTAACTCAAATGCATAAAGATTTTCGTACATTTAAATTTTTTCTAAAATTCAGAAAATTCAAATACACAATAGCTTTTCAAAAAAAAAAAAAAAAATGATTCAGCAATTTTAAATTGTAATAATTCGAAGGTAGACTGTTACACTGTTATCAACTCATTTGCTCTGTATCAGAATTTATGATATAAAGTGAACCATAACATTTTTTAAATCATTTTGTTATTTGATAGTTCCCTTTCGGTTTTGATTTCGATTACATCTTAAAATTAAATAAACTTTATTAAGATAATGAAAAAAAAAAGAAACAATTTGGGAAAATCATGAAATGTGTGGAAAAAAAAATGAAAATTTCATTCTTTAAAAAATATTGCCTAAAATCAAAAAATTAGTATAAAATTTCAAATACTTTTTTATGCAATATTATCATTGATAGACATTTGTGAGTAACTTTGCGCTCATTTACTTTACTGATTTGTTTCAATTGAACAGTAATAAAAAGTTTGATGTGGAATAAAAGGGATGCAAGTAGAAGTGTCCCTATCAGTTCTTAATTATCATTCACAAACACTAAAACATTACTATTCAGTTCATATTTGAAATATATACCGCAACAATCTGATATTTATAAGATGATATTATTTTTAAGGCAACACTCAGACAATTTGATTTACAAAAATTTTGTTTATAAATATTATGACTTAAATTGAATTATTTCTAATTTATTTGTCTAACTCAATATTTCTTGACACTCATTTGCAATTAAAGCACAAATTTAATAACACATTTTATATTCGTTAAGAAAAAAAAACGCATAAATACTGTTATATAACACAGAAAGTCAAAAAAAAATGAAATAAAACATAATTGAAATTTTAAACAAACTGGCATAAGTTCAATTCTTTCTTACGGCACAAAACAATTATTAAGAAAGTTAAAAAGGCAATTTGACAAAATAAACTTTGGGCCGTTACATAGAAAGAGACTTATACAAAGGCTACGAAATTTGAAGGCAGCCTAACAAATGGCAACACAAACTGTAGAACTGCATAGTGTGGCATTAATATATACAAATTTAGCAATAAAAGAAAAAATTTCTCACCGCAATATATGATATGAAAATTTAAATTTACAGAAGCAAAAGATAACTAAACAACAGTCCATAATATATATATTAAAAAAAAAAAAAACACTGAAAATTAAAATAAAGAAAGACGAAATTTCAAAAAATTCAGAAATTAAGTATAATCAATCATCAGTCAAGAAATAACCAATAAAAATCAATGCTCGAATACTTAAAAACTTAGATAAGCCATCATAATAGTAAACAAAAAATTAGGTATTTTCAGTTTCAGTCATGAAAAAGGACAAAACTCGAGTTTTTTTATATAGCTGAAATAAGATATTTCTATCGGAACTGAATCTTAAGCTTTGCTTGGCTCTGTGAAGCACCTAGGGGATTTCGAATGATGATGGCATAATCGCCAGCTTCTGCTTCTGAAATTCGTTGTAACTCCAGAATTGCTTTATTACCAATTAATGATATCTGAAAAAGCAAAACATAATAGATACTACTGACAGATGACGAATATAAACTTCGTCTCTCAAGCAAAATATTACATTTTCATATTCATATGATTATTTAAGTAACTTTATAGCACTTTATTTCTTACACTAGTTATAACACTTTATTCAGTTTCAGTCCTAAAAAAGGACCGTAATACCAAAATTTAATAGTTTGAACAGTTCATTACATGAAGAAATATACTGATAGCTTAGAAAATAAACTCTCGCTTCATAATCGAGTTAAATTAAAGGGTTTTAATCACTCATTCGCATTTCTAAGAATTTCTGATTCATTTTATTTGTATTTACTTCTTGCAGCGACTGTAACTTATAATTATTGGAGAAAAATAAACCATTTTGAACAATCTAATTACAAAATCCAAGTTCTCTAATGAGCATTCCAAGCCTCAAAAAATCAAAGTAGTACAAGATAGATATAAATAAATCATAAAAGTAGCCAGAACTGAACATAAAAACAAACTTTATGATTGTGTCCATCATAAAGTGGCTTTCCGTTAAACTGCCATGCAATAGTCGGTTGTGGATTACCTGATATTTCGGCAACAAACTTTACCGTGTGTCCTGATGAAAAAAAGATCAAAGTTAGAACAGTGAAAAATCTTAAATTACTTCAGCTTAAATCAAACACATGGAAATATCAAAAATATAAAAAAAAAAAAAAAAAAATAACTGAGGAAAATTAGCTGGCTGTTTGTAGAATAAAATAACCATGCTTTAGTGTTTCTTCAACACAATTATCTTAATTTCACCTGGTCGAGCGGTTATATCCGAAAGTTTTAAAATAAACTGCGGTGCGCCAGAAGATGGAGCTTTTTTCTTCATTTGAGCGCTGTCAACAACAGTACTATTTGGTACATCACCAGCTGCAGAAGAAGATGCCGCAGTTGTCGTTCGCATTACAACACCACTTTTTGCTGCAAACAAAAATTGATAAATATTTTAATCATTTTATATTTTTAAATTTTTAAAACATATTTACTAAAAAAATAAACAATAAGAATACTTACGTTGTAAAAGTAAGTTGGCAACACTCGTTGCTTTACCAGCTGGATTCGTTGCTTCACACTTATATTCGGCTACATCATCCTGATAACACTTCGTGATGCGTAATACCGCCTCACCATTACCTTGACTCATTTCGAAATATTTCGTCTTTTTGATTGGCTCATTATTGCGATACCATCGAATCATCGGTTCTTAAATGATAAACGATAGCAGTTAATGAGTGCCGAAAATCGGTATGTAATGGATGAATACATTCAAACGATATAATTTATAATATCTTAAAATAAGAAATTCTGCAAACATCGAACATAAATAAACATAACAGAACAGAAATGGTACCAGGAGAACCAGTATAGTTTGCTTTAAATTGTGCTGGTTCACCCTCAGCAACCACAACAGGCTGTATTTGGGATTGGAATCGAGGTGCCTCCAATCGAGGTCCAACTTCGGCTCCTTTACCAGTTTTTGCCAGTATTATATTTAAACGAGCCTTACATCTAGAATAAATCTTCTGGATTTTGTATATGATTCATAATATGAAAATTTAAAAAAAATAAATATCAACAAATGCAGTTGAGTACAAAAAATAATCTCTTATCCAATTTGTTTAAGTTGGTTTTCTTAAAACAAGAAAAATTAGAAAAAATACAACATATAAAGAGGTTTCTCTGTAACTGATGCAGTTCAGAGAGCGAAAGGAACGGACAAAAAAAAAAAAGAAGTTGAGACAAAGGAAAACTTGAAAAAGCTGATTCAGTCTTGTATAAATGGATGAAAAATAAAAGCTGCAGGAATAATCGAAATCAAGAACCTAAAAAAGTTATACAATACAGAATGCTTGAAAACTTACCTGGCTTCACCAGCGCTATTTTTCACTACACATTCGTAAATACCCGCATCTTGCGGCAATGTATCGGATATAATCAATACACGTTCGTTACCTTCACTGATAATCTGATATCGTGCGTCATTCGGCAGTGGTTTACCATCCTACAGTTTCGAGACTTTTCAAATAGCATATCAAGCTAATTTCTAAAGAAATCAACAGAATCTCAAATAAGTTAAAAAAAAAAAAACACCTTCATTCTTAGCCTATTTGCATGCGGTTTCAAGTTTGAAAAAAATTTACTTTGAACCAACTAGCAATAGGTTCAGGATTGCCAGTAACAATACATTTGAACTGTGATGATGCATTTTGTTGAACGCGAACATCAGCCATTCGTTGTGTGAAGTCAGGTGCTACTCCATGTTCTGTTGGTGGAACAACCACTAAATTAGCCATCGATTCTTGGGCACCCGCAACATTTGTTACACGACACATATATTGACCATTGTGGTCCACCTTCAGCTTTCCGATTGTCAAAGTTGAGCTTTTTGTCGTAGTATTGATCTGAGAATTAATGTAAAGTAAGTTAAAAGATCAGATATTACAACAGACAAATTATCCTATCCTCAATTGGTCTTATCAAGTAAAACTGTGCCTACATTATGCCGGCAATCATATTTCAATGCATACATCTACTACCACTGACTTTAAGATACTCTGAATTCTCAACTAAAAACTTGCAAAAAATTTTTTAACTGATTCATGCAATTTCCAAACATCTTTAGTTTAGCTATTTTAAGTGATAAAAATTTTAGACACCTGAAATTCGAAGCTTGGCTTGATTTCTTTACCATTTCGGAACCATTTTACTGTAAGAGGTTCATCACCGCTGAACAACACATTAAACTGCGCCTGTCGTCCGATTTCAGCTTGCACTGGCTTCAACTGTTGGGAGATTTGTGGTGCCACCTTTTGAGTTTGCCCCATTTTAGTAGGTTGCGGCTGAAGAAAAAAAAAAACTCAAAAACTAAGTGGGATTCGATATTTTCATGGTCATTTTGAATAACCAAAAAAACTGAGAACAGATAAAAAGCACAGCAAAAAATTTGGTTGATATACTATACAATAAAACTTAAGTATATTGAATATAAATTATTGGTTTTTATAAAACTCAAAGTCCAGATATACAAATTTTGAAGATCAAATAGTGTGAAATGCTAAACGATTATATATGATTTCATTTTAAATAAGCTTTTCGTCAAACTATTCTGTTGGCAATTTTAGATGTTTTTTCAGACTTAATCCGAAGTCTATTATGCTGTTAACAGATTAGATAACACAGCTTTAGTATACAGTTGAGAATCAACAACTGGCTTAAAGTTTTTAAAAATATGCCTCCCAACATGCTTCAATGTAAATATTACCATTTCCGCATCGCGATGATGCGGCCAAAATGAGTTTCTTGAAAGCCCGGTTAGACATTGAGTTAAATTTCATTAAATGACAGCAAGTAACTCACACTAAAGGTTACTGAAATTGGTTATATAAAAAACTTCAGTAAAAAATGCTGACATGTCGAAGAATACGAAAACCCGAGACTCGTTCTCGGATTCGATTGCCGTAACTGTATTCTGTCCGTTCTGCATATTCTTCCGACATTAGATCTTCCTGTTGTGCTAAGTTCACTTCAACTGCATGCTCAGAACGTTCACGATAAATTTGATACAATACAGTATGCTAAAGTAATTTTTAGTTTGTTAATGAAAGCAACAATGATTACTTTCTAAATATTAGTTTCGATAAAGAATCATAAACGATTTCAGAAATAATATAAGAAATCTTTCCCAAGTCACCAGAAGATACTCAATGAATAAAGTCTTGTTAGAGTTACCAAATATCATTTTCCCAAAGTTAAGGATTATTTAACTCATCTAGAATTATAGGAGAAGGAAGGAAAAGGTCATTTTACATGGAATTTAAATGTTTTTAATGTTATCAAAAGAAGATATACTTGTATTACAAATCATGCAGTTCTATGTAAAAAAAAAACGAATAACAATGTGATTACAAGAAATATCACTGTAATTTAGTAATAGATAGACATATAAACATGAACAAAAATCACACAAAAACTTGTTTTCAGGACAAAACTGAATCCATGCAAAAAAGAGCGCGAAAAAATACTAACTCACCTTTGAAGGTACTGTTGATTCTATAATCTTCCTGCAAAATTGAAAGAAATCAAAATGAATACAGTGATTTAAAATTCTGAAAAATTAGTAAAGACATCTCAGCTCTTACCGCTCTGATTTTAACCTTATCCCAAAGAATGGAAAAAGTCGGTTGAACAGACTTTTTTTTTTCAGTTAAATATAATCAAATATAAATAAAAATATTAAACGTATCGTTTATAAGGCTTACAGCCAACATTACAAAAACATATGAGTTACACCTTTCTCTGGTAATTTTAGTTAACGATAATTTGATATTCAGCATTAAATGCTTTTAAGATGTAGGTTTAAAGAACATACAACAATCCGACCCTGGAAAAACCATTAACACAATTTTACCACTTACGAAGAATCTAGTAAGATATGGAACGTCTACTAGAAAGACAGAAGAACAGTTTACCCTTTGACAACAGCAGGCGTTTCTTTCAGAGGGCCACTTTCAATAACTGATGCTTCTGACGGTTTCATTACTTTCGGCTGGAATTTCTGTTTTATCTTTACCTGATCTTTTGCCGGCACTTCAACCTAGAAAGATCGAGATCATAAACTATAACTGCATCGGTTTAGCACAATTTTAATTAGCACAACTTCATGATAAAGCTAATACCTGTTTAGGTGCCTCCGGTTTTTGTTTTACAGATGCCAATTTCGCTTTTTCCTTCTGAATCTCCACGTGTTGGGCGGATGGTAATTCAGTTGCCGGCTTTGGTTTCGTCAATTTAAATTTCACCTGGTCGCGTGCCGGTACCATTACCTCTTTTCTTGCTCAGGCAGCCGTCGGAATCTCAAACATTTTTGGAAGTACTTCTTATTAATTTTGATAAGGTCCACTTATATATCACTCATGACCGGTTCGAAATGGAATTTCAAGATTTTTTTTACTACTTATTGAGCAATATCCTTCAATTATTCATTACCTTCCCCCGCCTCATCAATACTCTTGCTAAACAAATCCAAAAGATGTTCCATAGTGTTAATATTATTTATTATTTGCATTATGTTACTGTAATCGTAATACCACTGATTGGTACTCAATAGATAGAAATTAAAAATTTAAATAAACCAGTTGATTTTAATTAACCTCTTTTAAAACTTTGTGGCTACAAATTAACTTGAATGATATTAAAAATTTTGGTTGTATAACTTGAACTTCTTAAACTGAATTAAAGCCAAACCGTGACTCAACGTTGCCAAGTTTCTTTTCGATTGCCCATTGCGGCTTTGGTACACTAGCACCTGCAGGCGCTGCTTCTTTTTCCACTTTTGGAGCAGCTCTTAGTTCTACTCGCTCCATCGTTTCTTTCGCTGGCTCGTATTTCTCAATGTGTCCAGGCTTCAAAGTTACATCTTCCAACTTCATGCTTTCAAAGGTTGGACGAGTCGTCTCGATCTATATAAAATTTAAATTTATCGTTTATATGAGTTGATCAAAGACCACAATGCATTTACAGTAGTGATGGAGGCGCCAATTAATAACTGTATATTACATCAAAAAAAGATACACAATGCAACCTTTTAAACCTTTTAAGCCTATAGTCTACCCTCAAGTTTTTGTTAATGTTATTTCGTGGTTATTTCTACATTTCGAAATTTTTTTTTAATACAAAGTCTTCTTTCTTGTTGCACGAAGTTATTTCGCAAAATTCAATTTTTTGCAGCCCTTTGGGAAATCTACGTGAGCAAAAATAAAAATCTTAAACTTGTAGATGTAAAAAAGTTCAACAGATCAAAAATTTACATAAGTAAGTTGATTATAGAACTGTTCGTTCTTAGGTTTGGTAAACTTCTCGATAAGTTCTTCACTTTCAAGAGGTTCGGTAGGTGTCTTCGACCGTTCAATTCTCATCAATTTTCGCTGGTCAGCTTTTGGTGCTTTCTCAAAGGCTTCTCCAAGAGAGCCTAGAACTTCCTGAAAATTTCAGAAACATGAAAAAACTTTTCTCCTCATATGAAAGAGGAATATCAATGTTTCTTGAGAGCATTTGAGATTGAAATCTACCCCAAAAAGTGATTATTAATTAAAATAATTAATTAGAAGATCATAATTTCACGTAACCTTCTGCCATCTGACTTCTCTCTCGTGCAGTTCATCTATGGTCATGAAAGACGTCGGCTTTAGTTTAACATGTCGGAAGTCCTTGGTCTGATAAACGTCCAGCATTGCAGAAGCAAGTACCTCACCTTCTGAGTTCTTCGCAATCACAACGATCTAAAAACATTTCAGCATTCACTTCCAACATCGAAGCGGAATCTTTTTTCATAGTTATGCAAAAACAGAAAAATGTATGGCTTACTTCACCAGCATCCGATATTTTTGTCTTCGAAATTGTCAAATAATGAATTCCGTCATAATGTAGCTTATATCTGCTTCCCTGGAAATAGCTTTTTTGAAAATTTCATTTTTTCCAAAAACCAAGTCTGAAGTAAAATTAGAGGAATATGAATACGTCCAAATATCAACGGAGATCTGTTGAACAAAAGAAAGCGACAAAATACTCAGTATCTAGCTGGTTGATAATAACATAATCATCGCATGAAACTTAAAAAAAAAAAAACAAAATATTCAAAAAGAATCAAATTAAAAAAAAAAATACATGTATGGCTTGATTTCCGTTTATATACCAAATAATTTTCGGTTTTGGATTACCGATTACTGCACACTCAAATCTTGCAGGTTCATTTTCTACTGCCTGAATATTCATAGGTTTGATTGTAAACCTCGGTGGTTGCTTTTCGCGCCGTTGTTCGCTCATGTGTTCCGACCTGAAAAAATTATAAAAAGGTACAACGTATAAAATGTAATCAGGAGTCTATCGGCGATAAGCACTACCTTGTAGTGAATAAATATCTTATAAATGCGAAGGTACAAAATACATTTAGCACTCCGTTAAAAGAATACTTCTCAAAACATAAAAATTTCGTCGCACCTATAAACTTATAAACATTGTTGTTATTATTCTTGTGCTCAGAAATCGTTATCAGCAATTAATTTTTAAACTGCAATTAATTTTTCGCTGGCTTCAAATAGGAAAACTTGAAATATATGTTGTAACATCAGAAAAAAAAAAAAAAACAAACCAATACGGCTGATCACCAAGTTTCTTAACATCAGAAACTAGAACACCCTGCGGAAGTTGGCTTTCAGTAACAATGTGTTTAGAACCTGAGCAAGCCAATTTCGCTGATGTTGTTGCTTTTCCATATGGATTTGTAGCAACACAAATATATTCACCAGTATCGTCAGGTAATGCGTAGAGGACATCTAAGCATGCAAATCCAAAATCTAACATTGAACGGAATCGATGGCCTACAATAGTTTTTTATAAAGAGCAGAGAAAAAGATATAATAATTAATGTGAAGCTTTAAAAGATGTTGGAACAAAAAATGTCAAGTCTTAATCTCTATTCTGACTTTATCATATTTCGAAATTTGAAATAATATCAAATATATAATATATTTGAAATACTATACTGAGTTTTGGAGATAAGGAATAGCTCTGAAGCCAAATTTTCAGAATTCTATTTGAAAACAAAGCAGAATTACCAATCAAAACGGGTTTTCCATCCTTAAACCATTCTACTTTCATGTACGGGTCATTAATTGGTGCAATTTGCGTTTCGAAGCGGCAATAATCGCCCTCCTCAACACCAATATTCGTCAAATTAGTTTTAAACTCAGGCGGTCGCTTTGTAGCTTCATTGTAAGCATCCTCCTTGCTAAGCGCCAAAGGAACACGGGTGTGTTGACGCAAATGGTTCTCAAGATTTTCCATATTGACCCCAGGTGCTTGCGGCGCAAATTCTACGCTTGGTTTTGAAAGAACCTGAATTCAAATCAAAAATTAGTCGATAAATGAATTCCTGCCTCGCTAAGAAAATAAGACGGAAGGCTTTTCAAGCATAGCAAAATTATAAAGTTCCATCAAAAAGATTTAAATACAAGGAATTATAATGCTTTAGAAATTATTACCGTAACATGAGTTTCAGTGGACGCTTCGCCTTTATCATTCATAACAATACATTCATAAACGCCACTGTCTTCCGGAAGTGCATATAGAATATCAAGCGTCACGAAACCAAATTCGCATGATGGCTTAAACCGTGAAGCTTCCGCGAGTGGTTTGCCATCTTTCAACCAGTTAATTGTCAATTTCGAATCATTGATTGGTGATACACGACATTCCATGTGAATAGAGTCGCCTTGCTGCAATGAACCAGATTTTTCTCTAATACTATGGTTTCGCATTGTTTACTGGATTGTCAAAATCTACTTTAAAACATAAATCACCATTTAGAAACGTTCGTCCGTTCAACAAAGAAACATACCTCGACTCCATCAATGTTTTCAACGAGTGGTTGAATTATTTGTGGCGCATCGACTTGGATGATGGATGCAACTTCAATATGACCAATACTTTCCGCCTTACCTTTAGAATTATAAGCTATACACCTAAAAAATTCTGTATCAAATTACGATTCCTGGATAAGACTCAATAAGGGTAAGACAATAAGATGAAAATTTTATATCCGAAAAGGAACAGGATTGCATTTAACTCGAAAGTGAAGTTGTAATGAAGTTCAAAATTGCTGGTATAATTTACTGATTAATTAATTTTACGAAAAAAATAGCTGAATCGATACTTGTAATCGCCACTGTCTTCGCTTATCAGATGTTTAATCAACAGTGTAGCAACACCAAAATCGTTTGACATATGTATTCGATTGGAATAGGGTATAGAATGTCCGTTATGAAGCCATTCAATGCGAAGTGACGGATCACCAATTGGTTGCAACACACAAGTAAACGCTGTTGCCTCTGCTTCATTCATCTGACAAAAATCATATGTAGAGCTTACAATTTAAAATCGTTTTCTTTTCTGCTTTTTCTGTTTTTTTTTTTTTTTTTTTTAAATGAATTGAGAATGAAAGAATTTATTAACCAAAAAGTTTGGATGCTATGAAGTTATAGTCTAAGTAGGATGCGAGATTAGATTCCCTGACATTCAGAATTTTGATTCCTACTTGAGTTTTCGAGCGAAAATTACATAAGCTGGATTTAAATGCAATTTGAAAGCAATAATAAAATTTAAACTCAATTGTTAATGCAACAATGTTACATTAATTTCTTTACCTGACCAAGATCAACGAGATTTTGGGTGAAATACGGTGCATCAAACTCTCTAACTGGCTGATCCAATTGATCTCTTGGCCGATGGATATATTCTTCCAACTTTTCAATACGATCTTTGCCTTCAGCAGTACTCTGCCATTCGGATACAACACCAGCCATACCTTTGACCTGGAATTATTGATTATTAAAATCCTTTTCCTCGAAAATCATTCGTCTCCATCACATATAAATGATGATAACAACATAAACTGAAACTATTGACGGTATCTAGTAGAAGTCATAACTTTAAACCTGCATATCACATGATGTCTCGGCTTGTCCTTTCCTGTTACTCGCACGACATACCCATTTGCCTGAATCTTGTGGCTCTGCAGGGATTAATTCCAGAACCACAAAACCAAAATCATGGATTGTTTTCATTCGAGCTGTGTGTCCGACAGGATGTTCATTATGGAACCATTCAATCTTTAAGTTCGGATCACCTACTGGTTCCACGCGTGCCTCCAAATGCGCTAGCTGTCCTTCTGACAAATTCGTCAGTGACTGCAAGGAAAAACTATAGCTTTGAATAAGGAAGTAATTCTGGGAAGCGAAGAACAGATTTTACGACAGTATACCAA